TGTCCATGAGCATAGCAGACTTTGCCTAACTCATCAACAAGTTGTGCACAAACAAGAATGCATATGCATGTATGGTCATGGCTGACTCTGCCTAACTCAATGTTGACTTGCACATGCCCCTGCACACACCTGCACACATGCACACATGGTCATGAGAGACTTTGCATAACTTGATGACAACTTGCACATGGCTGCCTAGCTCAATGATGACTTGCACATAATGACATGAATGGAGATGAAAGACTAGAGCCCTAATGCATAGAAGGACAGCTGGATGTTAGCAGTATCCTTTGCATGAGAACCAGTCATCAGTGCCAGAGAGAAGAGAGGAAGCAAGTTAAGTGCCCATTAAAAATTCTTAGCACCCATGTATGGCATTCCACTTTCCATCATATCTCCACCATTTCCAAAGATACCAACTCCATTCCCACACTCACTTATAGTGCTCAGTCATGTGATCCTACCTTCTGAAATTGGAAAGGATCCTCACACCCTATGCATTCTATAGCACTCCATCCATCAGACACTCATTTCACTAATCCTTCTGATATGGCCACCTCCACATTGATCATTTTGCTTGTCTCCTTTGCTAGGGACAATGGCTACATATATCTGCCAGGCATTCCTACCAGCTTCCATCCTGAAGCCCCCTGGTACATCCCATCCTCATCTGCCCTGTCTCAGCCCATTCATCTTGGTCAACATGTTCTCCTCATCAGTATGACATCCAGAAGGACATTCTTTGGTTGCCTCAGGTCTGTCACTCACATCAGGAAATTAACACTTTACTATTTTTGACCTTTTTGTGACTTTTTTTGACTTTTTTGTGACTATTGTGACTATTTGTGACTTTTTGGGAAGGAACCTACTATCTGTACTTTTTTTTTGGCCATATACAGCATTTTGAAGAATGAAAAGAGAACAGAATCTATTGAGACAACTAAGTGATGATATATCTAAGCCAAGAAGACTAGAAAATATCTGAAAATTCAGAGATATTGAGCCATTGGTGTGATGCATGCTGTCTGAGAGAAAAATCACAATATCTCTTTGGAACCTCCATCAATTTGAATGTATGTGGTATTTACTGAAAGCTATGAATTAGGTGGTTTGAACAAGACAAAAATAAGCAAGAACAGTGCAGCCATGCCTGCAGGACATGGGTAATGATAGTAGATTCCTTCCCAAAAAGTCACATTAGTCACAAAAAGTCAAAAATAATAAAGTGTTATTTTCCTGATGGAGCTAGAAAGGTCTTATGTGGTCGTTTCAGTCTCCCTACTTGATGAAGCATATGGATCCTTCCTCCCTGCTCCCTGCAATGTCTTTATTCCAATCTCATCCATCATTCTCCCCAGATTGCAACAGCTACAGTACACTCTGCTGTTCTCCAGTCTCCCTGATTGCATTCATGATGAGTATGACATGCATCTTGCCTTCTTATTGCAAGATATAGCAGAAGACATCCCCCCTTCTTCCTCTCCTCCATCAGAGCCTCATCCATGAGTGTTTATTAACTTCACTGAAAGGACAAATGGGTGGGAGACATGATCACCTATGCTCCTGTTACCCCCACAGACCCCCAATGCCCTAGCCCATTGATGCCTGACTCATGCCATCCATTCCTGGATTTAATACTACCCCATCTGTCATCCTGCTTTGATCCAGTGATAGCTCCACCAAGATTTGATGTGCATTGCCACCCCCTAATGTAATACCAGTGTGCTGTGAGTCAAAGTGTGGAAAGGTGGTGTAAACCAACCAAAACCAACACAAAAGACAAATAAGAGTGAGTGGTGGTGTGCCTCCATGGAACCTAGAGGGCAGAAAAATCTAAAGTGTGGGTTTTTTGATGGACAGTGCTCTGAGTGCAAGTTGTCATTGAGTTATGCAGGAGTGGATGAATGGACAATGAATGTGAGAGGGGTGCTGACTAGAGTGGGTGTTTCAACAGGAAGTATTCCTGGTGCAAGTCAATGTTGAGTTATGCAGGAGCCAAAGGATGACTAAGTGTGGGTGCTGACTAAGCACAGATGATACTGCAGATAATGAATGATGGTAGATAGACCCTTGATGGAGCCTCAACTACTAAAGATGATGAATGATGACAGATAGACCCTTTTGTGGAGCCTCAACTGCTGACAATGAGTTACTTCTGAGAAGAACTGAACTGGCTGACTTCTGAGATGCTTTGATTGATATTGATTTTGTAGCTAAGTACAGGGGGGTTTATATACTGTAGGGGGAGCACAGCTTGTGGCAAACAAGGTGCAAATGCTTGGTAAGTGATGAGTAAGGACTGTAAGCAATGAGTAATCAATGATGAGTAAGCAGGAAATGAAATGTAAGCAAGTGAAGAAGATTGGTAAGTATTGACAACAAATGAGTCAAGGACAGTCAAAATATCAAAGCATGAGTCAAAGAATGTCAGAAACTGAGTAAGCACACTGGTATCACATTAGGGGGTGGTGATGCATGTCAAATCTCAGCAGAGCTACCACTGGATCAAAGTGGGATGACAGATGGGGTAGTATTAAATCCAGGAATGGATGGCACAAGTCAGGTGTCAATGGGCTAGGGCATTGGGGGTCTGTGGGGGTAACAGGGGCATAGGCAATCACATCTCCCACCCATTCATCCTCTCAGCAAAGTTAATAAACACTTCATGGATGAGGCTCTGATGGAGGAGAGGAGGAAGGGGGGACATCCTCTGCTATATCTTGCAACAAGAAGGCAAGGTGCATGTCATACTCATCATGAATGCAATCAGGGAGACTGGAGAACAGCAGAGTATACCATAGCTGTTGCAATCTGGGGAGAATGATGGACAAGATTGGAATAAAGACATTGCAGGGAGCAGGGAGGAAGGATCCATATGCTTCATCAAGTGGGGAGACTGAAATGACCACATAAGACCTTTCTAGCTGAGTGACAGACTTGAGGCAACCAAAGAATGTCCTTCTGGATGTCATACTGATGAGGAGAACATGTTGACCAAGCTGAATGGGCTGAGACAGGGCAGATGAGGATGGGATGTACCAGGGGGCTTCAGGATGGAAGCTGGTAGGAATGCCTGGCAGATATATGTAGCCATTGTCCCTAGCAAAGGAGACAAGCAAAATGATCAATGTGGAGGTGGCCATATCAGAAGGATTAGTGAAATGAGTGTCTGATGGATGGAGTGCTATAGAATGCATAGGGTGTGAGGATCCTTTCCAATTTCAGAAGGTAGGATCACATGACTGAGCACTATAAGTGAGTGTGGGAATGGAGTTGGTATCTTTGGAAATGGTGGAGATATGATGGAAAGTGGAATGCCATACATGGGTGCTAAGAATTTTTAATGGGCACTTAACTTGCTTCCTCTCTTCTCTCTGGCACTGATGACTGGTTCTCATGCAAAGGATACTGCTAACATCCAGCTGTCCTTCTATGCATTAGGGCTCTAGTCTTTCATCTCCATTCATGTCATTATGTGCAAGTCATCATTGAGCTAGGCAGCCATGTGCAAGTTGTCATCAAGTTATGCAAAGTCTCTCATGACCATGTGTGCATGTGTGCAGGTGTGTGCAGGGGCATGTGCAAGTCAACATTGAGTTAGGCAGAGTCAGCCATGACCATACATGCATGTACATTCTTGTTCATGTGCAACTCATTGATGAGTTAGGCAAAGTCTGCTATGTTCATGGACACATCACCAAACACTTTTGGGGTGTGACAGCAGGAGAGGTGAGAAGGAGATGGGACAGGTGGTGAAATGGGAGGATCCTGTGGCACATGTGTGGGTGTCACAGGAGGCAGAGCTGGAGAAGTGTGGGCAAAGGTGGGCTGAGGGGGTTTAGATACACTGGGTGACAGGAGGCCAGAGTTTGCAAGCATCTGGAGAAGGAGAACACCAGTAATAGAGTTGATATCAATATTTTGTGATGCCTGTGCTTGCACTCTGTGGGCTGGATGCAAAAATGGTGCTTTGTTGCTCCAATTGAAAGACTCAAGGTTTGGGGGAACCAACAATGTAGCTTGCCCTTCATCCTATAGATAGTTTAGGGATGGAATGTTTGTGAGTAGCAAAGGACTTACCAATGCATGGCACCAGTCCAGTACCATGGCAGGTGAAAGGGGGATTGGCCCCACTGGCCCAACATAAGTCATTCCCTCATCATTCTCATGCTTGTACCAGCTCAGGAGTTTCATGCACCACTGGGCAAGGTGCATATCAAGGTCTGAGTGTTTCTGCTTTCCACTATCCTCACCAGATGAATTACTCTTGTCTCCAGAGCCATTGATAGTCAGAAGTTTCTTCACATGTTTCATATTGACATAGATCTTCATTGGGCCAGGGTGAATGCTACAAATCCTCTTGACCATATCCTTGTAGTCAACTTCATTATTGACATCAATCACATTACTGACAGCTTGGCTAAGGTAAAGCATGGTTAGCTCAGATTTACAGAGTGAGAAACAACTTACCTCCACACTTTGGGCAGTACAAACTTGAAGGTAAAATGTTTACTGCTTGAGACCCTATATTGTCTGTGACCATGCTTGTCCAGTACATGTTGTAGAAAATCAAGGTAGTTAGTATCATTGACAGCAAAAGTAAGCTCTTTTGTCTTCATTTTCCCTTCTCCTTTTTCTTGGGTCCATAGACAGAAAGCAAAATTGTGAAAGAATGTAATTTTTCTGCATCAGGAGTAGGGGATTGTGATGGCAATGACATGTTGAAAAACAAGTCTGCCATAGGGACAAAGTCTAAGTACATGCTTACAGTACACAATGTTACCATAGAGGTGGTTTCGGGGTCCTATCCCGGCTATATCCGAACAGACTAAACATCAAACGGATTTTCCACATCGTTTGGCAAACAGCTGTAACATTGATGATCATCGATCAACCATGGTACCGCGATAACAACGACGGGCACGGCCAGGTGTATATTGACTCGCTCAAGTTATTTACAAGTGACACTCGTCATACAGACTACATATTGTGAAGGACAGTTAGTCACCGAGTATGGCGACATCCTGGACATGAACATTGGTCTCAAACTCGTAAAGAGCGTCCGCAAGTGCCGTATATGTGGATGACATCGTCTTCAGTCGGATGCGGAACTGTAGATGGCAAGTTAGCCAGCATCCTCTGCGACGACGACGATACAAACCAATCTGACACGAGCACCTTTCGTTGCAGATGTAAGGTCAGTTTCGATCGCATTGATGTCCGCATGGATCTGTCCATGCAATGAGCCGAATGTCGCCGTACGATCAGAGGGCACCCACGAGCTGCCAAATTTTTCCAAACACTACCAGTTTTTCCTTGATCAGCTCCATGTCGGATTTCAGAGGGTCAAGGATAGTGTGGGCTTTACGCATCCCATCCAAGGAACATTGCCGTTCCACGAGTAGCTCTTGCTGCAGCTTCAACTCCTCTTTTTTCGCTATAGCAGGATTCTGTGAAGTGACGGACCGCTGCAAGTAGAAGACATACCGTTCACGTCCCGGACATCGGAAGCTATTCCCTCGCGTTGTTTATTAAACAGAGGGGGGCAGATTACACTGAGTGCAAGGACGCCTGCTCCGGCTATGCTGAGGCCTGCCTTGGAATTGGAACTGAGGAAAGCCTTGAACGAGGTCAGCGTTGTTTCCTTCGCAGCAGGCAATGTAATCGACCTTCTTCGTGAGTCTGGCATGGAAAATCAGTCCGATCAGTCACACGAATTTCACGGAGAGACGAACTCGGAGATCTCCCGTGTAAGTTTGTCGATGTTCGCCATTATCTCTTGGACTTCTTGCTCCAGTGCCTGACCGGAGGACAGCAAGCCCATCAAATCGTCCTGAAACTGCTTCACAGCTTCACGCAGATCGTAAAAGCTCTGGGAAAGATTTGCGGACTTCTTCTTCACATCTTCCTGCAGGTACTACATCATGAGGAGTATAAGTGAGGTACGCAAAATGGACGCTGGCGCATGCTGTTACCTGCCGATACGCCTCGATCTCTTCCTTCTTTTCGTCAAGTGTGACATCAGTTGCGGCCATCAGGTCCAAGAAATTGTCGGAGAAATCTAGTACGACAAATAAGATATCAAAGAGGGACAGGGGAAACGCCCCAACTACCTTTTGCAGTCGCGCGGGCATGACCGGCCACACGGCGGGACTCCCAAAGGAGGGTATTGTAAGTCTGTACACCACGGTAGGACAAGCATGAAGTCAACAGAGCGGTTCACCATACGTACCTTGTGATGAACGGACCATTCCGCGATGAATCTCTCCAAATCTTGCGCTTGCGTTGCAGTGACTCCTCTCAGGGCCTTCTGCAGGCCTTCGGCAATGTTCTTGAAGCATACTTCTATCGAATATGCAGAGTCTCCCAGATCTCTGACCGCCGTTCGGAGTTCTGACTTGGCTTGGGGAGAGTTGAGGATGTCATTGATCGTCGTCAGTGCTTCATGTTCAGTTGGATAAGGGGGAACGGGATCGCGGTCTTCAAGTGCAAGCTCTTCAAGTTTAAAAGACGAAATGGCTTTCTTCTTCGGGTGTCCGGTGTCGAACGTAAGGACTTCACCGTAAAATTGTAGACCACAGTCAAAGATGTCGGTAGACATAGTAAACAGGGGGGGAGGACGGGTGACCAATTTGATGGCCCACTTCGACAGTCCGAGTGATTTATAGGCTGGTACGCAGAAGGGAAAAACATAGCTGCATATGCCTATTGTGTGGAAGGACCTCGAGTACGCCACGCATTTCCGATATCATGACATAAGATGCTTCCGCATACACACACCGCATTGTGTGGCAGAGATTGCCCGACCAGTGCAGGGCAGACCATCCCATCTCGAACTCCGTATGGGATTGCAGACCCTGAGGAAATGTATGCACCGCACTCATCGGAAGCTGCCACGGTCCTCATTGGTTCCTAAATGTTAATAGTAAACGTCAACCTCACTTAGCGTTTGGGCATCGTCCACGTGGTATAGTTGCTCTCCCTTCTCTTCGTCACACTGGACGAAGATGCTGCCTGACTGGAAATACTTGCCAGTTCCAATGCCCTCGTTACCCTCCAGATCACGTATTGCTGTCGATCTGGCACCCTTACAAAAACCCTTTGACCCATTGTTCTATAGAATCCGGGGCTCTGTCCCACCGCAACCAGCAATCGGAAATGTGCTTGACCGCCAAGGATACTTCCGATCATCCAAATGCCACCGAGGACGTCTTCACAGCGTCGTAGAAACCTGCAGATTGCATCGTTTTCAGTGTATAAAAAAGACCCAAAACACATGCCAGATGCAAGTGACGAACCGATACGGTAACCACTTCATGCAGCCCTCGAGTGACTCCCGGTACATAGACGCGACGCGAGCTGTTCCTGTCAGGATGTGAAGGGAAGGAAGTGGGGGTTGTCCGAACATGCGTCCTCGTTTCTGTACCATGTCGTTCAGATTCCCGTCGGACGCACCAGCCATTAGACGCTCAGGATACGAGGTGGAAGTTTCCTATCGCTCCTAGCTGAAGGAAATGAGGGATGTCCGAACATGTGTCCCCGATCGTGTGCTACGCTGCATTCAAGCGATCTCGTTCATTTCCCATTAGACGCTTAACGTTCCTATGCATGTATCGGGATGTGAAGGGGTTCCCGATCATCGTTCTCCGCATCCTGGTATCGGGACAGCCTAACGGGAATTTGAATGAGGCCACTGGAAGGCAGTGTCAAGCGACCACCGTGTTGGCACCAGAATTCTGTGATTTCATCCGGAAAGTCCTGATACTATGATCAGCGCCAACTTTCAGGAGCTTCAATTCTCGGATTCTTTTTGCTCCACACGTTGCAACCTGCAGGGTTGCACGCTATCGAGGCGCTAAGTCAAGCAAGTTTCCAGTGGGTCGTTGCTTGCGATTGGTCATTCTACCTAACAAGCCCCGCACTCTATTAAACCATGGACCAAGGGTTTTCGTGTGTATATTCGGATGCTGAACGTGTGAACCCTGAAGCAAACCTAGGTGACTGTGGGGCAGTTTCGCCCACTATGTACCGCGAGTTTCAAGTTCCGTCTTTGCATGGGATTGCAGACCCTGACGAAATGCATGCGCCGCACTCGTCGGAAGCTACCAGTTCCTGAGATAAGCTCGACTGACGTTGGGTGCTCTCCACTTCACTTACGTGGGTTGCTTGTTCTTCTCAGCAACAAGGTATACGAACAAGACGTGAATTTCTGCCACGCTTCATATGTAGTTGAGCTACCGAAAACTATCAGCGCCTATCAAACATTGCTCGATGATGCGCGTCTCCCCTTCTCCTCGTTGCATCACATCTTTCAAGCTCTCGCATAACTGGCCAGTGCGGCACAGAGAGGACAATATGTGGCGCGCAAGGCAGCAACGTGATCCTGACATCGAAGTGGATGACTACCACCAAACTGAGAGAAAAATGGGTCGACTGACATGATCCACGCCTGCCAGGTTTGCGTTCACTAGTTCTATCAGCTCGAGGGATTCTTTGGTGAGCTTTCGCGAGAAGGTCAGTGGATGTTAGACGAGACCAGAAGTGATCGTACCAAATTGTAAACGTCGTTCAAACACGTAAGTTTACTGGAGAGCGAGCTCGTGTCACTTTTCAAGTTGTTGACGTCCTTCAATATGGCGGCACTCTTATCTATCGCACGATCGGTCGTGCGGAGAGCGTCCAGTCGAGCAGCAAGTTGCAGCGTCAGTGCCTCTTTGGCCCGTTCGGCTGGCATAGTATTTTGTAAGTTCCTTTCACCACCCACCCTTGGACCTACCTCCACCAGGCGCCTCTAAAATGTGTAACAAATTAGCGGTGCCTTCCTTGAGCGACGTGACCTGCAGAGGCAAGTGTAAGCCAACGACGAACGAGTGGAAAAGGACCTCGCATACAACCACTTCAACGGCACCGCCTGGTGACCCGTGCAAAATGCTCTTGCTTGCCAGGGCAGAGATGCGAAGGGCCTCGGAAGTCAGCGTGAACGTCAAGCCAGCCCCAGTACGCACGCCCATGCAACTGCGTGGGAGGATGTCATGTCAGGGGAGGATCGCACCACATCAAATGAAGCCCACAGGGTAGAAGGGATTCCGTTCTGCTGACAAGATTGCCTCATTCTCTGATACGCATCGGTAGCCAAGGTAGCGAAGGGCAGGACGGAGGTTGGCTACAGGAGCGGAGGTGAGATGCAGTGATCCGCACTGAAGGGGAAGACCACTCGCCAAGGGCAAGCTAGTTGGAGGCCTGAAAAGCGGTGGGAATTCAGTAGGGCAGAATTCAGCGGTGAACTTGACAATTCACCTGCCAGACCCCGATTCGCATCGAGAAATTTCTTTGTTCACCTCGTCGATTTCATGTCTCAGCGCTCTTTCCGCAGTTTGTGCATCTTCGAGCCGCTCGCGTATGGTGGTGGAGAAGTCGCCGAGCGCATCGCAGAGACTATCAAAGTCTTGTCCCATCCCGCAATCGATCTCGCTGCTCCCCTGCCAATACTGGGGACGATTCGTTCGCGACGAGAAAGCAAAACGTAAGGCGCGCTGCATACCTTGATCACAGCCTCCAGCTCTGTAACCTTCTCATCGTTGGTGACGTCCGCGTCCAACAAATAGGTCAACAGATCGCCGCAGAAGTCTGACCATCATCCGTCAACGGTTTAGAAATCCTTACCAAGAACACGTCACCTTTAGTCACAGCACCAGCTTTCGCCGCTGTCTCTCTCGACTTCCAAACAAGCTGCACGTAGCTCTGAAGGATGGCACGGCAGTTGTCAGCGATAGATGGAACGTAGCAAGAAATGGAAGGCCCACCTCGTGGAATTCTTTGAATTGATCGTTTGGATCAAGGGTAGTCTCCGAGAGAGCCCGTCTGATCTGTAGATATTTCTTGTCGATGCCATTCACCTCGCCAACCAAATCCGCAATCTCCTCCTTTAGCCCAGTGACATCTCTGTATTCCGGAGGGGAGTCCTGCCTCATTCTGAACCAAAAACTTGAGTAAGTGGAAACGCTAAGAGTTATCGACGATGGGTGGTCCGCTCGAAGCGACAAGTACCCCGAACGATCCAATCACTATAAACCCAACGGAAGACATCGTCCAGAACGACAACGACACCGCCGGGAACGCAGATCTGCAACATGCCGGAACTTGAAGCTTAAAGTTCGATCGAAATGCATTTGCCACGACACACATTAGCGGTGCGGAGCAAGATAGGACAATTGCAAATAATTCCGGGTGGCAGAATGCCATTCAGCACACTAAAGGTTTGTTCCATATCGATATGTAGAACATCGCGCTGGACGCCGATCAAGTAACAGCATCATCGCACTTTCGCACCACCCTTCCAGAAATCTACGTTGATCTGCTCAGGATGTGTTGGTGAGTGCCCATGAGAGGTCGGCTGCATGTTTGTCTTTTCCCAAATGGACTTGCGTGTATACTGCGTCGTCTGGTGAAGTCAATGCTATCGCCTCGTGTCGTCCATGCGTCCTGAGTACACGAGATTGTATGTGGCAATGTGGCCACGTCATGTTTCAAGTTCGACCGTCTCTCTTACCAACCTCCCCAACAGCATCCGCTCGAATCTGTTTCCTACGTGAATCAGACCGCTTACTCAGAACTGGGCATCCATCGACGAGTATTCCTGATGCGCCTAGTACGACAACAAACAAAACCGACATGATCAGCCAGTGTACACTGGTGAAAAAATTCCCACGCACACATTTTCCTCTTGAAAGATCTACTTGGCAACGGATGAGGAGTACAGCCTGACACTGCAAGTCACGTCGCATTCGAGTGTGACTGTGTCGTCGACACGTTTCATCAGTGTCAAGGTGATTAATCTCAGTGGCTTTAATACTGGTGAACACGAGTGAACGCCTGTAACACCAGGACTGCTGGTAGTTGAAACAAAGTTGAAAACAATGGACAAGGATGACTATGGTGATTGCCTTCCTCCCGATGGGGCATCGATTGCTATCCGAACACTGACCTCGACCTCGATTGTCAGTGAGAACGGACTCGGATATCATCGTACCTTGACAGGTTGATAGGGGATGCATGCGACGGTCATGAGCGCTCGTCGGGGGGCGAGAGCATGGACAGCATACGTGACGACGTCAGTAGGGTTCAATGCGTGGCATAAGGTACTCCTCGGACGGAAAACAATCTTGGAGAGCACTCAAAAAACCGAGTACGAGCAAGCCTCAGGTATTACATTAATTAGGGCTCCGCTTCAGTCGCCGTGTAACAAACAAACGAAAGGAGCACGAAAAAATACAAAAAGAAAAAACAACGGACAATGGACAATGGACGAAAGACAGAATAAGGCTTAAACCCCCCCGCTACACGTCACAGGATTTCCAAGACCTTCGTCCGAATATTCCTCGGGGTGATGTTAGTCCCGAGTCCCGAGACGACGATCTCCGTCTCTGTAGCGACCCTCTTGTACTCTCCATTCGGCTGCTGTACGAGAAGCAACGCATTGAACGGCTTTCCGAGGCGAGCAATCATTTCCAGTGCCTGGGTATAGCCGTCAACCCGAGGCGTCGGGGCAGCATGTAATGACGAGGGGGGCACAACTCCGTCCGAGTCAGAGTCAATGTCAGACTCCGAATCACCTCCCCAGGTAAACCCACTGCTCGGACCCCGGATGTAATGAATCCACGGATGCGCGAAGACGAATTTCTTTGGCTCGTTCACAGGGAGATTGTCCGTGGCCGTGAACTCCACTTGTCCAAGCCCTGATACCCAGGCACTATATAGGTTCTGATTGCCTCTGAGTATACAGAGGTATTTAACAGAGAAGACGATGCATGGAAGATGTAGGCATCGGGTCGCAAAACGGGCGGGTGAAAGAGAGTTGATCTGACGATAGATGCTCTGGGCTTCCCGCTGGGACAGCTTTTCGCGTAATTCCGCGATGCACCTTTTCATTTCTTCCCCTTCGAGTGGCGGAGGGTTGTGAAGAGTTTGGTTGTAAACAGAAATGGAGGCCGGCAGACAACTGTTGTATGACGATGACTTCCCTGACCATGCGAGCACGCTGACCTCGCCAGAGCGTGCGACAATCTCCTCCAGGAGATGTCCGAGAGCGTCAGGTCCTTCACCGTAGTGAGGCCTGATATCCGACTTGAATATGCCGATAAGAGAGTATGCGACATCTTCTTCGACCGTGGCATTGCGCGTCGAAGCAAGACGAAGTTTCTCGTGCACCCCGAGATCATTTGGAGAGAACGTGACGATCATTCCACAGGGAATCTTGATAGTGTCTGCCAGCTCTTGCATGATCTCCAGAGACTTCTTGTGGTTCGTGGCAGAAATGCCGAGGTATGGCTTCCACTCGGAGTCATAGAAGAAGATGAGTCTCGGTGACAGGAGTTCTTGCAAAGTCCAAGCACGCGTCATCCAGAAACTACGCGTGAGGTCCCCGGGCTTGGACGGATGCGCTACGCCGGCAAGGTACACGAGCGTGGCTGCTGAATTTGCATACCATTTGTACATAGATGTAAGAGATTGAACAAGGATGGAACTTGCGGACTTGTCGATGCAACATGTATCTGACCAGGCCCAATTATGACCAAGTCTGCGTGTCTCCAAGCAGAAATTGCGCAGCTTCTCATTTAGGGGCGTATCGGGAAGGTTCCACACGGATTTGACTACGTTGACGTCCCGGAATGACGGTTCGGTCCCCTGCCATGCATGCGAGAACATGACATATCCAAAAAACTTTGCAATTACCCGTAGGATCCGTTCCTTGTCCGCTTCTCTCGTCATGGATGAAACAAGCTCTTTGAACGACGAATCAGCCTTGAAGATACGTATCCGCTCAGGACCATCGCAGAGGCAGCCAGTGGTGATATCGATGACAACGAGGGGACAGTCTTTGAGGGTCTCGCGAATGACAGCGTCAATAGCCGCAATTGTCTCGGAAGGAGAAATGAAGTTCTTGCGCAGTTCTGTGAAACTGTCACTTACGGGTACTAGCTTCATACAGGAGGTACGTACGCCTGATTGCAGGGTCATTGGACTGTACGATCACGCGCAACATGGAGCTGAAAGTGTTGATTGCTTCATCATACTGTTTCGCTCCGTGAAGCGCCACATGCTTGGCCTCATAGCCCCAAGGGTCGGAGGGGTCCACTTTCACTGCCTACACAGCAACCGTAGGGAACCGACTCATACAAGAGGAATGCCATGCATACCTCGTTCGCATCCTGCAGTGCGTCCTCCCACAACCCTTTTGCTGCTCGAGCCCTGCTTTGCTTGATAAGCAGACCTGCAGGGCTTGGAGGACGGAGGGACAACGCAGTAGAGTACTGTGTTATTGCGTCGTCATGTTTTGCAGACTCAAAGGCTTCATCACCAAAATGTTCAAGTGTCGCAATGCATTTTTTGGTGAAATCTGATAACGGACATTAACGTGCACCTGAACCAGACTGGCGACTACAAGACATACCTGCAATCCAGTCGGTAGTTGCCTTGCTCCCATGGGTCTCCTCGTCTGATGTTCTGATGATGCTGAGGAGAATCTCCACGGCTTCGGCTGTACGTTCTTCAGCATAGAGATTTTCACATAGACGTCGCCGGGCGGCAATGTCCGGTCCATTGAAATCCCACCCAAATATCTCCATTGGGGGTTAGATTAATAGGTAGTAGCGACAGAAGACCTACGAGCGTGATCGTCTCTAGGGGTGGACATTTCCTGTCCTTTGTGACTAGATTCTTCGCATGTTCGATCGACCGTATTGCACGTCCGTAATTTCCTTCCTTCATACACATAACTCCCAGGACCTGGGGCATGAATCAGTGATGATGCCTCCATGTCTACATCACGCGAAGCACATGCCTGTGTGTAAAGGTAGATGGTATCGTCATCACTTGCTCTTGCAACAAGGTGATTTACACGTGTTATCACCTCTGCCTGATGTCCGGATTCGAACAAAAGGACAAACTGAAGATAACGTATATTCATTGTGAGAACGATCCAGAACACCTTACACACCTTCAGTAATAAGAGAAATCTGATGTCGTGCAGCTCGCAATCATGAAAGGCTAGGGCGAATGTGCATAGCGCACCCTCTCGATTGCCCTGGCCAAGTAGAGCAACCGCCATTGCAATATAGCCGATAGGTGATGGCTGAACCTGGAGGGACTTGAGGTGCATGGGAGTGAACAGGCGCATCGAGTAGTCAGAAAGAAAGCTCACTTCTTTAGCATCCCCCATGGCAGGCGCAAAGTGTTTTAAATGCGCTCTTATAAGAGCGCGGTTTGCTAGCGCGTAGTGGCTAGGACTTGAAGCACTCGCGATCTCCTTTGACAGGAGCATTTCGGTGTTTGTCGGGTTGTCCTGTGTCCACGATTTGAGGGTCTTGCCGGTCACTTGCACGAGCGGAAGCTGATAGGTATGGAATTGACCACGGATTAAAGCGTTACGCAGGAAAAACAATAGCGTGATGATTGTTAACGATGCGAGTGTCGTGAGTGGATGTGCACTTACACAATGACCGAAATACTCAGTGGGAAGGACATCTCCGAGATTATGAATCGTGATTTTCACGCCATCGAAGACGCATACGAGATACTCCCCACTTGGCGAGAGAGCAACGCAGTTGATGTCTACAGCGTGCGAGATAATGCCACTAATTTGCTTGTGGGACACGCAATCCCACAGCGAAACCGATGAACCCGCGGAACACGCAATGAATCTGCCATTGGATACTATAGAGACCATATCAGATTGGTTTGGATGGATGGACCATTTTGCGGACGAAGACTTGGAAAGGTCGAAGCAGGTGATTTTGCCTCTGCCTGCGACGAACAGTTGCTGGCTGTCAGATGACCAAACCAACGGCTGAGTGGCCGACAATGAACCGGTTGAACCCTCAAGACCTGAATCGAACAAGATGTCACCATTGTCGGCGCTGTAGACGCGGATACCGTGATCATACGAGGCGGTAGCAAGCCGACTGCCATCTGGGGAGAACTTGACACCAAGAACCCAATCATGTGGAAGGGGAGGAAGCAATCGTTTACCAGAGGTAATGCTGAATATCTTGGCGGTGTGGGCGTCCACAGTGGCAATTTTGCTACAGTCGCACGAGATATCGACCGCGAATACGCAATGCTCGTGTTCGGTAATCTCGAGCACTTTTTCATGAGTGGCCGCGTTCCAGATGATCGCCTTCTGTCCGATTTCCCCGGACACAATCCACCGGCCATCCTGAGAGACGACAATGGAATAAACATCACTACTTGCTTGCATGGTTGGACCCTGTTGCTGTCGATCTTTAATCTTCCATCGACGAATACCACCTTTGTCATCTCCTCCTACGACCTGGCTTCCGTCCACAAAGGTGACGGCGAGTATGTTTCTCTGAGATGCAGTTCCGGTGTGTTTCGCATCTTAACCACCACAGCGGATTGTCAGTAGGCCCGCCTCAGCTTCTGACTGCTGGTACGCACCCATCGTCGTCTCTGGCAAGCCCACCAACACAACTTACTCTGGAGTTTAGAAGGGAAAAGAATGATGACACCGTAGACTTATTCGCGGTACCCAATATATGATTCCTCAAGCTCCATAGCGGTATGGATTAGTTCGTTCAACCAAAGTCACATCGTGTTCTTCAAGATCTGGTAATCCCTGAACCTGATTAGGCTCCTCCAAGTTCCGGCGTTTTCAAATCTGCACGATGTCATCCGTGGGATGAGGGTTGGTGGAAACGTGCCGAACGAAGCGTGATCTACTTTAGGGACTATCCACTCCACGTATCACCCCACCAGACAAACCCTCGGGCTCCACCATATCCCCATGCTCGTTGATACCCTAAGGCCTTTACTTCCTGTCCCCAGGATCCGGATCCTGCCAACATGTTGCGGGCCCCAGACCACTTTCACTGGTTCCTTGGATACACAATAATGCGTTGGTATTATAGCATAATATCTTACTGGTGTGTACTCTGAAATGGGCCGCTCAAAGGGTTCGCTAGGGACGAGCTACGGTATCACGGACATTACATTATTCTCGCGTTGTTAGGTTCTGTGTGCCGTGGGAAGTATTCACGGGGCTGTGGTCACGGCGGATTTGAGCAGGGTGCCTCTGCTGGTCAAACTTACAGGTTTAGTAAATTTTAAACTCCAGCTGCGGATACTATACCGTCACATCCTTTGCCAAGTACCGTAGTCCAAGCAAGCCCTCGCTAACCACACGGCCTTCGTTAAAATATCTTGACTTCACCGAACGACGCAGTATACACACAAGTGCAGTTGGGAAGAGACAAACATGCAGCCGACCTCTCATGGGCACTCACCAACACATCCTGAGCAGATCAACGTAGATTTCTGGAAGGGTGGTGCGAAAGTGCGATGATGCTGTTACTTGATCGGTGTCCAGCGCGATGTTCTACATATCGATATGGAACAAACCTTTAGCGCGCTGAATGGCGTTCTGCCACCCGGAATTATTTGCAATTGTCCTATCTTGCTCCGCACCGCTAATGTGTGTCGTGGCAAATGCATTTCGATCGAACTTTAAGCTTCAAGTTCCGACATGTTGCAGATCTGCATTCCCGGCGGTGTCGTTGTCGTTCTGGACGATGTCTTCCGTTGGGTTTATAGTGATTGGATCGTTCGGGGTACTTGTCGCTTCGAGCGGACCACCCATCGTCGATAACTCTTAGCGTTTCCACTTACTCAAGTTTTTGGTTCAGAATGAGGCAGGACTCCCCTCCGGAATACAGAGATGTCACTGGGCTAAAGGAGGAGATTGCGGATTTGGTTGGCGAGGTGAATGGCATCGACAAGAAATATCTACAGATCAGACGGGCTCTCTCGGAGACTACCCTTGATCCAAACGATCAATTCAAAGAATTCCACGAGGTGGGCCTTCCATTTCTTGCTACGTTCCATCTATCGCTGACAACTGCCGTGCCATCCTTCAGAGCTACGTGCAGCTTGTTTGGAAGTCGAGAGAGACAGCGGCGAAAGCTGGTGCTGTGACTAAAGGTGACGTGTTCTTGGTAAGGATTTCTAAACCGTTGACGGATGATGGTCAGACTTCTGCGGCGATCTGTTGACCTATTTGTTGGACGCGGACGTCACCAACGATGAGAAGGTTACAGAGCTGGAGGCTGTGATCAAGGTATGCAGCGCGCCTTACGTTTTGCTTTCTCGTCGCGAACGAATCGTCCCCAGTATTGGCAGGGGAGCAGCGAGATCGATTGCGGGATGGGACAAGACTTTGATAGTCTCTGCGATGCGCTCGGCGACTTCTCCACCACCATACGCGAGCGGCTCGAAGATGCACAAACTGCGGAAAGAGCGCTGAGACATGAAATCGACGAGGTGAACAAAGAAATTTCTCGATGCGAATCGGGGTCTGGCAGGTGAATTGTCAAGTTCACCGCTGAATTCTGCCCTACTGAATTCCCACCGCTTTTCAGGCCTCCAACTAGCTTGCCCTTGGCGAGTGGTCTTCCCCTTCAGTGCGGATCACTGCATCTCACCTCCGCTCCTGTAGCCAACCTCCGTCCTGCCCTTCGCTACCTTGGCTACCGATGCGTATCAGAGAATGAGGCAATCTTGTCAGCAGAACGGAATCCCTTCTACCCTGTGGGCTTCATTTGATGTGGTGCGATCCTCCCCTGACATGACATCCTCCCACGCAGTTGCATGGGCGTGCGTACTGGGGCTGGCTTGACGTTCACGCTGACTTCCGAGGCCCTTCGCGTCTCTGCCCTGGCAAGCAAGAGCATTTTGCACGGGTCACCAGGCGGTGCCGTTGAAGTGGTTGTATGCGAGGTCCTTTTCCACTCGTTCGTCGTTGGCTTACACTTGCCTCTGCAGGTCACGTCGCTCAAGGAAGGCACCGCTAATTTGTTACACATTTTAGAGGCGCCTGGTGGAGGTAGGTCCAAGGGTGGGTGGTGAAAGGAACTTACAAAATACTATGCCAGCCGAACGGGCCAAAGAGGCACTGACGCTGCAACTTGCTGCTCGACTGGACGCTCTCCGCACGACCGATCGTGCGATAGATAAGAGTGCCGCCATATTGAAGGACGTCAACAACTTGAAAAGTGACACGAGCTCGCTCTCCAGTAAACTTACGTGTTTGAACGACGTTTACAATTTGGTACGATCACTTCTGGTATCGTCTAACATCCACTGACCTTCTCGCGAAAGCTCACCAAAGAATCCCTCGAGCTGATAGAACTAGTGAACTGCAAACCTGGCAGGCGTGGATCATGTCAGTCGACCCATTTTTCTCTCAGTGTGGTAGTAGTCATCCACTTCGATGTCAGGATCACGTTGCTGCCTTGCGCGCCACATATTGTCCTCTCTGTGCCGCACTGGCCAGTTATGCGAGAGCTTGAAAGACGTGATGCAACGAGGAGAAGGGGAGACGCGCATCATCGAGCAATGTTTGATAGGCGCTGATAGTTTTTCGGTAGCCCAACTACATATGAAGCGTGGCAGAAATTCACGTCTTGTTCGTATACCTTGTTGCTGAGAAGAACAAGCAACCCACGTAAGTGAAGTGGAGAGCACCCAACGTCAGTCGAGCTTATCTCAGGAACTGGTAGCTTCCGACGAGTGCGACGCATGCATTTCGTCAGGGTCTGCAATCCCATGCAAAGACGGAACTTGAAACTCGCGGTACATAGTGGGTGAAACTGCCCCACAGTCACCTAGGTTTGCTTCAGGGTTCACACGTTCAGCATCCAAATATACACACGAAAACCCTTGGTCCATGGTTTAATAGAGTGCGGGGCTTGTTAGGTAGAATGACCAATCGCAAGCAACGACCCACTGGAAACTTGCTTGACTTAGCGCCTCGATAGCGTGCAACCCTGCAGGTTGCAACGTGTGGAGCAAAAAGAATCCAAGAATTGAAGCTCCTGAAAGTTGGCGCTGATCATAGTATCAGGACTTTCCGGATGAAATCACAGAATTCTGGTGCCAACACGGTGGTCGCTTGACACTGCCTTCCAGTGGCCTCATTCAAATTCCCGTTAGGCTGTCCTGATACCAGGGTGCGGAGAACGATGATCGGGAACCCCTTCACATCCCGATACATGCATAGGAACATTAAGCGTCTAATGGGAAATGAACGAGATCGCTTGAATGCAGCGTAGCACACGATCGAGGACACATGTTCGGACATCCCTCATTTCCTTTGGCTAGGAGCAATAGGAAACTTCCACCTCGTATCCTGAGCGTCTAATGGCTGGTGCGTCCGACGGGAATCTGAACGACATGGTACAGAAACGAGGACGCATGTTCGGACAACCCCCACTTCCTTCCCTTCACATCCTGACAGGAACAGCTCGAGTCTATGTACCGGGAGTCACTCGAAGGCTGCGTGAAGTGGTTACCGTATCGGTTCGTCACTTGCATATGGCATGTGTTTTGGGTCTTTTTTATACACTGAAAACGATGCAATCTGCAGGTTTCTACGGCGCTGCAAAGACGTCTTCGGTGGCAATTTGGACGATCGGATGTATCCTTGGCAGTCAAGCACATTTCCGATCGCTGGTTGCGGTGGGACAGAGCCCCGGATTCTATAGAACAATGGGTCAAGGGGTTTTTGTAAGGGTGCCAGATCGACAGCAATACGTGATCCGGAGGGTAACGAGGGCATTGGAACTGGCAAGTATTTCCAGTTAGGCAGCATCTTCGTCCAGTGCGACGAAGAGAAGGGAGAGCAACTATACCACATGGACGATGCCCAAACGCTAAGTGAGGTTGACGTTTACTATTAATGTTTAGGAACCAACGAGGACCGTGGCAGCTTCCGATGAGTGCGGTGCATACATTTCCTCAGGGTCTGTAATCCCATACGGAGTTCGAGATGGGATGGTCTGCCCTGCACTGGTCGGTGCAATCTCTGCCACACAATGCGGTGTGTGTATGTGGAAGCATCTTATGTCGTGATATCGGAAATGCGTGGCGTACTCGAGGTCCTTCCACACGATAGGCATATGCGGCTATGTTTTTCCCTTCTGCGTACCAGCCTATAAATCACTCGGGCTGTCAAATTGGTCACTCGTCCTCCCCCCCTGTTTACTATGTCTACTGACATCTTTGACTGTGGTCTACAATTTTACGGTGAAGTCCTTACGTTCGACACCGGACACCCGAAGAAGAAAGCCATTTCGTCTTTTAAACTTGAAGAGCTTGCACTTGAAGACCGCGATCCCGTTCCCCCTTATCCAACTGAACATGAAGCACTGACGACGATCAATGACATCCTCAACTCTCCCCAAGCCAAGTCAGAACTCCGAACGGCGGTCAGAGATCTGGGAGACTCTGCATATTCGATAGAAGTATGCTTCAAGAACATCGCCGAAGGCCTGCAGAAGGCCCTGAGAGGAGTCACTGCAACGCAAGCGCAAGATTTGGAGAGATTCATCGCAGAATGGTCCGTTCATCACAAGGTACGTATGGTGAACCGCTCCGTTGACTTCATGCTTGTCCTACCGTGGTGTACAGACTTACAATACCCTCCTTTGGGAGTCCCGCCGTGTGGCCGGTCATGCCCGTGCGACTGCAAAAGGTGGTTGGGGCGTTTCCCCTGTCCCTCTTTGATATCTTATTTGTCGTACTAGATTTCTCCGACAATTTCTTGACCCTGATGGCCGCAACTGATGTCACACTTGACGAAAAGAAGGAAGAGATCGAGGCGTATCGGCAGGTAACAAGCATGCGCCAGCGTCCATTTTGCGTACCTCACTTATACTCCTCATGATGTAGTACCTGCAGGAAGATGTGAAGAAGTCCGCAAATCTTTCCCAGAGCTTTTACGATCTGCGTGAAGCCGTGAAGCAGTTTCAGGACGATTTGATGGGCTTGCTGTCCTCCGGTCAGGCACTGGAGCAAGAAGTCCAAGAGATAATGGCGAACATCGACAAACTTACACGGGAGATCTCCGAGTTCGTCTCTCCGTGAAATTCGTGTGACTGATCGGACTGATTTTCCATGCCAGACTCACGAAGAAGGTCTATTACATTGCCTGCTGCGAAGGAAACAACGCTGACCTCGTTCAAGGCTTTCCTCAGTTCCAATTCCAAGGCAGGCCTCAGCATAGCCGGAGCAGGCGTCCTTGCACTCAGTGTAATCTGCCCCCCTCTATTTAATAAACAACGCGAGGGAATAGCTTCCGATGTCCGGGACGTGAACGGTATGTCTTCTACTTGCAGCGGTCCGTCACTTCACAGAATCCTGCTATAGCGAAAAAAGAGGAGTTGAAGCTGCAGCAAGAGCTACTCGTGGAACGGCAAAGTTCCTTGGAGGGAATGCGTAAAGCCCGCACTATCCTTGACCCTCTGAAATCCGACATGGAGCTGATCAAGGAAAAGCTGGTAGTGTTTGGAAAAATTTGGCAGCTCGTGGGTGCCCTCTGATCGTACGGCGACGTTCGGCTCATTGCATGGACAGATCCATGCGGACATCAATGCAATCGAAACTGACCTTACATCTGCAACGAAAGGTGCTCGTGTCAGATTGGTTTGTATCGTCGTCGTCGCAGAGGATGCTGGCTAACTTGCCATCTACAGTTCCGCATCCGACTGAAGACGATGTCATCCACATATACGGCACTTGCGGACGCTCTTTACGAGTTTGAGACCAATGTTCATGTCCAGAATGTTACCGTGCTCGGTGACTAACTGTCCTTCACAATTTGTAGTCTGTGTGACGGGTGTCACTTGTAAATAGCTTGAGCGAGTCAATATACACCGGGCCGTGCCCGTCATTGTTATCGGTACCACGGTTGATCGATGATCGTCAATGGGACTCAGATCTCTCGTCGCTGGGAAAGAGGGCGCAGACAAACAATAAGCAACATAGCGCATTTGCAAACCAGGTCGGGAGGCTAACGACATGGAAGAGGTCACCGCGCTCCTCGGAATGTTGCACAGTCGAATGCCGGTGCAAATGGGGCACTCGTGAAGATTACATTTACACACCATTCATGTCGATGATATCACAATGTCCCGATCTGTAAACCAGGTCAGCGGCACCGACATACCAACGAGGAAGAGCTTTGCCGACCGGTAGAGCCGCAGCAAAGACTGGCCCCTCGAATCAGGTCCATGATTAAACTCCACTAACTCGACTTTCCCGCCCGTCCAAGTATGCAATCTGCATGCGAACCTGATGGGCACGAGAAAGAGCAGCTATTTGAACATGATCTTCGCCCAAAAATGTGTCCAATAACAATAAAGATTACGGTACAACGTTCAAGACACCTACTTGCTGTTCCGGTCTCAGTGGTCTGTTCATGAAAGAAAGGTGTTGATTCCGCCTTGACGCTTCCATATTCATAGCAACGATGATCAGGATGATGATAGCAGGACAAGTATGCGGAAACGATGATCCTCTAGTTGTCTCTGCCAATGATGGATCAGTTCGGCATAGGGAGCGTTTTCGGTGCCTGAGGTTTCGATATGCGCTGCGTGATAGCGGAAACCCCCGGAGATCAATATCTTCACTGCGACATACCCAACGTACCATACTTGTGTGAGTGCCCGTGGAACGACCTGCATTAGCAAGCTCAAGTAGGTGGTAAAAGTCATCCTACCTCAACATCCGCCAGCGCAGATCGGAGGAAACACTGAATCTGGACGTCAGTGTGCATTGACTCACGTTCTGCTTGCACTGTCTTCCAATGGTTCAAAAACAGGGCGATCGGAAATTTCTTCGCCACCCACGAAATCATATCGATGAATGTGCGAATACCACACTCGCCAGAATCTTACATTGTCAAAAGCCCAAGAAGGAAGTATGGTACAAGTGACGCAATCGCAATTACACACCATTCTTGTCGATGATATCGTAATGACCAGGTCTATAAGCCAGGTCAGCAACAAGGACATACCAAATAGGAAGAATTGCGAACCGGTACAGCAGCAGCAAAGGCTGGCCCCTCGAATCAGGTCCTTGGTTAAACTCCACGAACTCGACTTTCCCGTCCGAGCTACGCCCGTCCAAGTACGCAATCTGGATGCGAACCTGAAGCGCGCGAGAAAGAGCAGCTATCTGAACGTAATCTTATCCCCAATATGAGTCCGACAGATATGAAGAGTGCAATGCGACGTTTCACAATACCTGCTTCCTTGCCCATCGGATCGACGCAATGCAGGCAAAATTCGGTTACCGTCATTTTCATCCCGGTGTCCGGGTGCATGATGAATCCCTCAAATTCCTCCGGTGCTGTACGAATCTGGGCAGAAGTCAAAAGACGCAGATACATCACGATATACTGGGGAGCTGTTTCCAATTCAAATGAGAAATTCTATCCAGAAAGAGTAAGTCGATTAATTGCAATACTCACTTTGTGTACCCTCAGAATCCTGGAAAGTCTCTAACAGACCAGCTGATGTGAGGAGATCACCAGATTGGCTGATGATACGTTTGATCAAGTCTGTGAACACGCCGTAGGGCAGATCATAGACAATTTCCTGAAAACCGGCATCCTTCATTAACTTCTCCTTTTGAGATTCGAGGCCGGATAAAGCGGTTACGACAGCCAATTCAGGTTCTTCCGCACGGATGAGCTGTTCGATGTATGCAAATGCAAGTGCTGAAGAACTATGCCACATCAGAAGGGGTCTACTCATTGCATCGGAACACTTCACATCGATAGAAACAATCCCCATCGCCTGGGAATTGTTGTAAGATTAAGTAAAGAAGGACGGGAAGAGAGGACAACTTACCTCTGGTTCGAATTATACTGGTAAAACCTTGACGAACGAGATCGTCGATCTGCGCCACAAACGACGAAGAGCCATTCTCATACTCCGCCCGTAGCGTTGAAATCGGGGCCGGCTCCGACATCAACGGTTGCTCGCTAGGTATACTCTCTTCTAAAAGCTTCTATAACACCATAGCTCGCACTGGATGAATAGAACACTGGACTGATCGGATACTCGCCTGATTCATTGCATACAGCTGTGCTCTTGGAAGGTCCTTTATCTCTGCGTGGGCAAGGTGAACAGGGAACAATGATGATATGGTACATCGTTTCCTCACCCATGTCATCTGGGAGTATAGGATAACCGCTCAGGAAAGGTGCCTGCTGAACCATCGTTGCGTTGCCTTCCTGGAGCAAAACCGCTACCATTTATCAAAATATGTGGCGTCAGGCGGCAAAAGTAGCAGAAGGAAGGAAGGCTGACAATCAGAGGGTGGTGGGTTTGCATTGGCATTGTTGTCGATGGAAGACATGGGCGTCCTTTCGGACATGGTGCAATAGAGAGATGGTGTTCGGCAATGAGTGGCAAGTTGTTGATCAGAGGTCGCCACCGACATACCAAATCGGGACAACAGCCAATTAATAAATGCGAGTGTACAACATCCGGAGATACAGTACGGTACACCAAGACTAACTATACTATGAATGATGTCGTGCTTGTTCATCAAGCTTCGCGATCACCTCTTGCTGCTCTTCACCACTCATCCGACCACTTTACACGAGAAGATCAGTCAAAAACAACAAAACAGGTGGTAACCACCACTAGAAGTTGAACTCACAAAGACTGCGCAAACGTCGGTAAATGCGCAGGACTCTGGATCATCCCAAGCTCGATCAGAGCTCGCTGTCTCGAAACAAGCCTGGATCAGATGTAAGTGACTGGGTTCATAACACGAACACGGATACCTAAAAATAAAAACAAAAAACTCACAGTGTTTGCGGGCTCGCAGGTGCTTTATGGTGTTTCCGCTTCGGTGGCCATTGCTCCTCCGGCGTCTTAGACCTACTAGCAGGTTCCGATTCCCCAGCATGCTTGCGTTTCCTCGCAGCGGCTTTCCGTTCTTTATGTCTCTGTGCACGTCGTGTCAGCAGCGATGATATCCGATATCAAAGTAAAATATAACGCCTTACCCGAAGCGCATCACGCGAACGTTCTTCCTCGATACGGCTCGGCTGAAGAATATCATCGTTTCGATGACTATATCTCACGCCAATTTCACCCAGAGTTTTCTGGACGTCGTTCTCTTCGGCGAGGTCGGGAGGTTCTGTGAAAGCAGCAGTGTAATGGATCTTAATAAGAAGCTGTTCTTACTTACCATCATCAAAAAGGAGAGCGCTCAGTCCTCGCAAATCAGCCTGTAATACGAGCTCAAGGCATGTTTTCATCCGCTTCATTACAAAGTGGCTCACCTCTTCCTTCCCACCCTTCACGTCCGCTTCGTGAATCCAATCATCGGCCTTCAACTTAGCCCGCCTCTTATTTTTACCATGGAGATGAGCCAAAGCCCAATCAAGCTCTACGATAGAAGCTCTCTCGATCTGAGGGGATGTCAATTCACGCTCCACACGCAACCCCAATACAACAAATAAGATGCACTCACAGCAACTTTGGTAGCAAGCGTATCTTCATGGAGCTTGAATATATTCTTAATCCCGAACAGCTCGCCTTGTCTACTGGTGTCGCCTTGCACGCCGTCGAAATACCTTCATCTCGACATCAACATCTGGCTACTACACATTCCAATTGGAGAGGTAAACCAACCTCGTTTGAATGCTAGCTTGATACCCAATAGCCATCTGCTGTTGTTTATACACTTGACGTGCATAGATCAGTTCCTCGATCGACCCAGCTCCCAGTAGTCTGTATACAGACACGTCACGACGTTGACCGAATCGGTATGCTCTGTCCATGGCCTGCAAATCATGGGCAGGGTCTACAAAGACCATCATGACATCAGCAACCGAGCCCGATATGTCAATCATAGTAACACTCACTCCAGTTAGGGTCTGTCGTGAGTCCAGTTCATATGTGGTCAGCCTCCCAAACACATGAAAATCGCAGTGCACGTACCAAAGATGACGACTTTGTTAGCTCCAGTCAAATTCAAACCGGTCCCTCCAGCAAGCGTTGAAATCAAGAAGACAAATACATCGGGATTTCGGTGGAACTCGTCGATCATAGGCATTCCTTGATACGAAAGTGAGCTTATCGTGACAAAGGAACGCGACTAAACGACCCGCTCACGATCTGCCTGCTTCGTGGACCCGTCGAATTTTAGGAAGCCGTAACCTAGATGGGAAATAGATCAACATCGCCCTCAAGAGCAGATACACAAGATCGGTATCGCACCACTCTTGCCAAGATGGAACTCTAGCATCTCCAAGAGCTTGACAGACTTCGTGAACAAGAGAACCTTGTTAGATCGGTCTCTCCGCCAGTCTCGAAGAAGCATGTCCAGAACCTAAGGGGGGAAGGGGAATTGCTCTGAGCATCGAATCCAAGGAAGTAAGGACACACATAGCAAAACAACGTACGGCCCATTTTCCACAATACTGAGGTTGCATGATGGCGGTTCCGTATTTCGGAACGGGTTCGCCTGCAAAAACATACTCTGCAAGCTCGCGATGTCGAACGGTCTTCATCCTATGTTGTCAACGGACTGTCTATGAGATCATACTCAGCATTCACCTGCTCTGGGGTATCACTCGGGGCTACGCAATACGGTGGGTCATTACAGCATCGAAAAGAAATGAATGAGTTACCTGGAAGAATCAATCCTAGATGGTTTGAGATCTTGATGAGTATCGACATGTGCTTGAGTACGTCTCCTTTTTCGAAGGGGTGACAACAATCTTTGCGCCTAACACACCAAACATCAAGACTCGCCGCATCGCATAGTCTCAAAAGTCAAACCAAAACAAGACACGTACTTCTTCTTCGATCCACACTCGCATTGCTCGTCTTTACGCATGAGGTTCTGGACCGGATCAATCGACAAGATACGTTTATAAACCTTGATCTGTGTAGGAGTTAGCGGACAGAAGACCACTTCGTCAATTTTGGTGGGCAACTGTGGGAGATCACGGTTAACGATTTGCTACGATTACAAACGAATACAACAAACTTGATGTTTTATGATATCCTTTGTCCTGAAAAACAGAGTAAAAATGACAGTACTAGAACCCAATCGTGTAAAAACTCGCCTTCGCTTGAAGAACTTGGGAAGTAACTTATCCCTGACGATCATCGCAACCGCCTACAAATACTGATCAGGCATACAATCACCCAGCAAAATCAACGAAGAACGACATACCAACGCCTTGGTCCTCTCTTCCTCCGTCGCCTTCATCGACTGCCCAATAGTCAATGGCTTGACCACATACCCCTTCCACTGCTTACTCGTCCCCAACTTTCCGGGATTCGTCCAGTCGAGGATCGTCCACAGCTCATTGTACGAATTCTGAATGGCCGTCCCTGTCAACCCGAACCGTCTCATACATGCAAAGCGATTGTATGCCTCGGTTATTTTCGATCGAGGGTTTTTGACACGGTGAACTTCGTCCACGATGATCGTTGACCATGCTAGATCCTCTAGAAGGGTAATATCTCGCCTCGCGAGGTCAAACGATGTGATCACTACCACCGATAAGCAAGGGAAATGGTACCATAAAAAGATATGGGACATACCTACGTCCAGTCTACCCATCTTAAAATCGATGAGGACATCCTCTCTCTGGGATCCCGTATACACCCTAACCTCGAAGTATCCCCACTTCAGTCACCAATCAGCTTAAACAATATTTGCACAAAACAAGAGGAGAACGCACATACCGTTTGGAATTCGCGTTCCCAGTTGGGCACGACGGACGACGGCGCGATGATGAGACATGTCGGCCACGTAGCATCCGCGGGAGGAAGCGTTCGTCGCTCTGCCCACTCCGGACGGTCTTGAAGTTGGGAGACATGTTTTCGCCTCCGACCGATATCTCTTGCATCACCGTATTTCTTCATGATCGCAGAAAGGAATGATATGACTTGTATTGTTTTCCCTTTAAAACTCGATCGTTGGCCGTGAGTAGACGCCCCTGCCAAGGAAGCTCACCCTAGTGGGACAACGTGAGCTCAATCAAAACGATAAGAAGAGGGCGTACGAGACCCATATCGTCCCCGAGAAGGCCACCCCTCCCTTGATCATACAACTCCCAAAAGAAAGCGTACACCATCCCGTTGATACTCGCGCAAATAAGTATTGATGGCTGCGGGAACCATAATCCCTTTGGCGAGTACGAGGGGACCCAGGTGGTACTTGGTCCGGACCTAGCGGGAAGCCTGGTCGTGGCGAAAATGACTGTCAGTAAGGAGGTCAGATATACTGTAATCATAATGTAGGCATTTGAAGTAAGGTATACTGGAATAGCCACTAAATCGGCTTCGTCTTCCGATTCCGTCTCTGAGTCATCGGCTATGAACGATAGAATTCTCGCGTAAAAAGATTGGAATGTGAGGGTGCTCAAAAAATCCTCACCGTCCTTTGCAGGAGACGCCTGTACCGGCTCCGCTTCTGACTCTGACTCCGTCTCCGAATCATCTAACACATACTATCGAGCTGTCCCGCACGATACACGTTCCAAGTGACCTACCTTGTAGTGTTTTGAGCCGCTTTGCCGGTGGCAACGCCTGCAGTGGAAATGGAGACTTCCGCTTTCCGGGTCTAGTAGTAGGTTCTTCGTCCGACTCGGACTCTGTTTCTGAGTCATCCATGGCGGGTCCACCGGAACTCGGCCGTGTAGAGACTGCTTCTTCCATCCGGTCACTTATAAATGGCATCAGTATCTGGGGTAGAATGGGTTCTTCTCGCGCTGAAACATCATTATCTGAACCATCGTCCACATGGTCTTCGGTGACCTCGACATCTTGCTCGTCCTCCTCCGACGCTGAATGGAGATCCAAATCGACACCTAAACGAGAATAGCGACTTGATCAGCTCGCGACTTGCCTCGTCCCGACCTAACAGCTTACCGAAATACTCGAGCAGAGGATTTCCCTTCGCAGCATTTCGCTCCCGCGACCTCTGCTCTATATGCCACTTGTCAACAGGGTCTGCGCGACACGAAATCAAATACCCACTCGGCGACCCGACGTCGCTCTGCACTACACCCCCCCGCCGACGCGAGTTCCGCCGGGATAGGGGAACATCGGACTCGGAATCATTTGCAGACTTCCTACCGCGCTTCTTCGTCTTCTTCTCGTATACGAATGTTCCAGCATTGAATTCCGGGTCCGAGTCTGGGTCTTTGGTGCGAAGCGTATCACGAGTCAGGCTGAATTGGCCAGGGGGACCATTGCTCGTGGCGTACCTAATGGTGCAGGTATGGAATGCGAATGTCCTGCCAACAAAGAGGGTTACACGGTCTATCCTTATGATTAGAATGCTCACTTTGCTCGTAGGCTGATACTCTGGCTCTCTGAAGTGCCATGACAGTATACGCTCAAGCGACACGACACAGGGGCGAATCACCTAAGCACTGATCACGTGTGCGATAACGTGGTATGTGGATGGCCAAGTCGACCGACCGTGGAACAATACAGTCATTTTTGATGCGTATATACGGACAACAGCACGGACCAACAGTACGAATACGACAGTGAAGGATAGGATAGCACACATAAGGGAAAAAAAGGGGGATAGAGAGAGAGAGGGGAGGGAGCACAGAATAACGTCCAGCCGACGAGGAGCTTCGATCGTCACACGCCTCGCATAGAACAGGTAGGGTAAGTGGGGGGTGGACATACAAACACCAGGAGCGTCTGGAAAGGGGAAAGCATGTCGTACACCAAAATAACTTGATGGTGTGATTACTCGTCGTCTTCGTCCCCTACGTCCTCACCACAGCTCTCTTTGCCAGATTTGCCGCCCTGAAGAAGTGGTGAGCACAGGGTATGCAGAAAGAAGGAAGGGGGGCATACGGTAGCCAACGATGCCTTTTCTTCCTCGGCCCGTGCCTTGTCTTTGGCAGCCATCTCAACGTAAGGCTAACGAGGCGTCATCAGCATCATCCCCAGCCAAGACGAAGCCCACGCACCTTCCTCTCATCGTCGCTTAGTTCTTTCCATTTGGCACCGAGGAGCTTGCCGACCTCACCTGCAGGGGAGGGATCCGTTGAGCTGAAACGTGGATGATGTGAAGCGATGCCTCCACTTACCGAAGCCGGCGTCGGGGTTCTCAGTCTTGATTCGTTCTCTCCAGTCTTGACTGAAGAACATGTATGCGGAGAGAGCCCGCTTAGGGCCCCCCTTGGCCTTGGACTTGGAGCCCTTTGCTTTGGCCTCGCCCTTTTCGGCAGCCTTGCGCTGTTGAAAAAGTAAGCATCCATGCGTCGAGATGGCCAGAGTCGAAGAAAAAAACGGAAAAGTGTGTATATGCGTGGGTGGTGTGGTGGTGTGGAGTGTACACACCTTTGGTTTCGCTTCCTTTGGCATCTGGAATGGAAGAGATAGGATCAGATGAGCATTGGACACGTCACGGACACGTGAAACGATGTAGAAACAAAGTGGGGACTCGATGGACACGGGTAGGACGCGTTGTGGAGGGACGCGTTGGCAGCCAAACAAACAAGGTCAGCCAAGTGTGCAGAGTGCTTTTTTCGTGCGTCAACAGCAGTGAGCGACGACAGACGACGACAGGGCGATAGGAATGCATCGGCAGTGTCGAGCACGACGATCTACGAGTATGTAGAATAAAAAGAGACACACACCTTGAGCGTCGGTTGCAGCGGGGGTCAGACGGAAGAGGGCGCGGATGGATTTATGCGGGGGCACCACTGTTGGCTTGTGAGGGGGCGTTTGGCGGGTGGGAGCTCCCCTCGTATAAGGCCTCTCTCACTTTCCAACCGTGTGAATCGTACACTAAGCAGCTTTCCCACCACTCAACAAACACATCATTACATAATCACATATTATATAACAGCATCTAATCCAGAGTAAGACAAAACTGGAGAACAGATACGAAGAGCTCACCAGGAAGACACAGCTGGGCAAGTCCCAGGTCGTCCAGTCGCGTCATCTTCAGCAGCAGTCCCAGGCCCTCGTCACCGATGCCGACACCGGGTTCATTCAACAACTCCCACGTGACATCATCCATCTCCTCTGCGACGCGTCCCCATGTCGTCTTGATCGCTCCAGGATGATTAAACGACGCCATAATGAAACAGAGCGGAGAACCTGCAGGACATACATGATATGACTCCAACACCCAGATTATTGGCACTTACACAGACCGGAGATGACCTGCTCTCGAGCTAGGTATGGCGATCGGGGTTCCAGAGTGAATTCCGAACTGTCCTGAATCAGATCCGGAAGGACGTCCCCTAGATTGTACAACCGTCGACACGAAGGGCATACCCGCCCCTTTGCTCGACTCTTGTTGTACCATAGAATCTAATGCAGACGTCAACCCATTACCATGCACCCAGGCAATACACATACGACAGCGGTGTCTTCAGGAAGTACCGTGCACAACATCTGCAGTATCTCTTCCTGCGCGAATTCTGCACATAAAGGGTCATTTAAAGACGGTGGTTGGGCAAAAAAGGACGATAAGAATTCTCTTGCACTGCGAACTCGAGGTCCAGTACCAGGATCGTATATATTGGGCGTAGCTGGTAGCGATTCGCCGTGGTCATCACAGTCAAAACATGGTGTATCGGGTTCTGTGACCGGTGGTGGTGATGACTTCTGTAGCGGCACGAGTGCCTTCTCGCGTTTAGCCAGCTGCTTTTTCTTCTTCTTGATATTGCAAGGACCCGGCATCTGACCTCAAAAGAAAGGAGCTAGACTATGTCACGTGTGACATGTCGTGTTGCGTGACACTCATTTGGAACTGTTTGTATCCGGTCTCTCATCAAGTTACCGGAGGCCATTTCCCCTCTCTGACTCGTAGAAAAACTCGGAACTGATTATCTTTTTTGGCAGCCAAGATTGCAGCCCAACTGTTGCGACGCCCGTCACTTATTCGCCCACCCTGGCGTTGTAAAATATCTGTACATTGTTGTCGCACCTTATCGAACTTGAAGATGGCTAATACGATAGAACTGGCACAGGTACGACATCCGATCTACCATCTCTCTCTCTCTCTCTCCTCGACTCAACCACGACATAAAAATTAGACAGGCAAAAGAGACTACTTGATATCCCTGGAGAAGAAATACCAAGCACGATGGAGAGAAGAACGCCTGTTCGAGACCGACGCGCCCTCGACAGAGGAGCTGCACGGTCTGTCTGCATCTGAGATCAGCGAAAAGCATCCAAAGTGGTTCGGCAACTTTCCATACCCGTACATGAACGGAGCCTTGCACTTGGGTCATGCCTTCACCATCTCGAAAATCGAGTTTTCCGCAGGATACCAGCGTTTGTTGGGAAAGCGCGTTCTCTTTCCCCATGGTTTGCATGCAACGGGAATGCCCATCAAGGTGTGTTTTCTGTCTAGTCTCTCTCTGTGGTCTGCTAATATATCCGTCTCGCAGGCAGCGGCAGACAAGGTACAACGTGAACTGGAAATGTTTCGGTGAAAATTTCGAACGCTACGACGAAACCGCAGGAGCAGAAAAACCAAAACCAACAGAAAACGGCTCAGCAGCCTCCACCCCTGCCGTCGGTAAAGCAACTAAAGGAAAAGTCGCAGCCAAAGCCACCGGTCTGACCTATCAATTCCAAATCATGGAGTCGATGGGCATTCCTCGATCAGAAGTCAAAAAGTTCGCCGATCCCCGTTACTGGCTGTCTTACTTCCCTCCGATCTGTGTCGTATGTTTTTGTTATTCTACTTGACATCGAGGATTTCCTCACTTTCCATACCCCCCCCCCCCCAGAACGACAACAATGCCATGGGCAACCGGATAGACTTGGAGACGCTCGTTTCTGACCGACCGATCTGAACCCCTACTACGATTCCTTCGTCCGATGGCAAATGAACAAACTGCACCAGCTGGGAAAAATCAAATTCGGTGAACGATATACCATTTACAGTCCTAAAGACGGTCAACCATGCATGGATCACGATCGCTCCGATGGTGAAGGCGTTGGTCCCCAGGAATATTTGGCGTTGAGAATGGAAGGTCGTCGAGTGGAGCCCGGCTGCAAAAGAGGCCATCGAAGGCAAAGTTGGCGGAAGAAAAGTGTACTTGGTTCCAGCTACGCTACGACCGGAGACGATGTACGTCGCCTTGAGATGCAGATCGACGTTCGCGCTTGCTGATGACTTTGTCCAGGTACGGCCAGACCAATTGCTTTGTGGGTCCAAACATCAAATATGGCGTCTTCGCCATCAACGACACTGAAGCCTACGTTTGCACTTATCGTGCAGCCCGCAACATGACGTTCCAGGGAGTCTTCCCCGTGCGCGGTGACATTCCGCAGTTGGTGGAAATTGTTGGCTCGACCTTGGTTGGAACGAAAATCAAAGCGCCCTTGGGTGTGATTCCTGAGGTATATGTGCTGCCCATGGAGAACGTCAAGGATACCAAGGTAACGACCATCCGTATCACAATTGAACCCCGCTGATGGATGGATGTGCTACAGGGCACTGGCGTTGTCACCTCCGTGCCCTCCGACTCTCCCGACGACTACACCACCACCTCCGACCTACGCAAGAAAGCCGAATTCTACAAAGTCGACCCCAGATGGCTGGACTTCGAACCCATACCAGTCTTGAAGACCGACAAATACGGAGACCTGACTGCAGTAGCGGTTTGCAAGGAACTAAAGATCCAGTCGCAAAAGGACATCAAGCAGCTGACCGAAGCCAAGGAAATCGCGTATAAGGAAGGCTTCTATAATGGTACCATGGTCATTGGAGACTTCAAGGGCGAGTCAGTTCAGGAAGCGAAACCTAAAGTGCGAGCACAGCTGATCCAGATGGGCTTGGCATTCCCGTATGCGGAGCCTGAGAGTATGGTTATCTCTCGTAGCGCAGACGAGTGTGTGGTCGCGCTGATGGACCAGTGGTATCTGGATTACGGTGAACCCGTATGGAGAGCACAAGCGGAGAAGTGAGTTACCCTTTTTTGTTGTTGTTCGCGTGTTTAATCGATGACTCATCATGCATCGGTCAATCAACAGGCTACTGGCTAAGATGAACACGTGGGGATCGGAGACCCGTAATCTGTTCGAGGCAACTTTGGCGTGGTTGAATCAATGGGCATGTGCTCGGACATATGGACTGGGTTCGAAAATGCCATGGGACCCCCAATTTTTGGTCGAGAGTTTGAGTGACTCGACGATCTACATGGCTTATTATACTGTTTCGCACTTGTTGCACGGTAAGCATCAAGATCCAATTTTTACGTTATGCCTTCCTTACGATCATATGTCCCCACAGGTGGAGACGTCACCGGCCACACCATCGGTCCTCTGGGCGTAACCCCAGAACAGATGACTGACGAAGCATGGGAATACATCTTCTGCAATGGACCATGGCCTAACCCAGAACCCTTTCCCAAAGAGAAAGCCGATACCATGAAACATGAATACAACTACTTCTACCCCTTCGACATGCGTTCTTCAGGAAAAGACTTGGTGCAGAACAACCTGACGTTCTTGCTGTACAACCACGTCGCGATTTTCCCCGAGGATAAATGGCCTTTGGGCATTCGGACGAATGGTCATTTGATGATCAACGGTCAGAAGATGTCGAAGAGTAAGGGGAACTCGATGACGCTGAGAGATGGTATCGAGAAGTTCGGCGCCGACGCGATGCGGTTGACGTTGGCAGATGCTGGTGATGGTGTTGAGGATGCCAACTTTGACGAGAAGACTGCTAATGCGAATATCTTGCGTTTGCATACTTTGTTGGGTTGGTGCGAGGTCAGTTAGGATTTTAGCTCTCGTGGAGTACGCTCATCGACTGGGTTTGCTTTCTAGGAGATGTTGAAGGACGATTCAAACTTGAGACATGGAGCCAAGTCTTCGTACCATGATCGTGTCTTCGAGGAGGAAATCATCGACTTGATCAACATCACCAAAACACATTACGATGCGTACGCCTGTTCTTTAATTCGGTTCTAACGCGTCGGAACCATCTCACGTTTATCTACCAGAACCGCCTTCAAAGATGCTCTGAAATACGGCTTCTACGAACTACAAAACATCCGTGATTGGTATCGCGAAGTGACTTCCGACGTCGGCATGCACGCCGACCTGGTCAAATACTGGATCCGCGTGTCTGCGTTGCTGGTGACCCCCATCGCACCTCACTTTGCGGAACACATATGGACTGAGTTCCTGAGGGAACCCAAATCTATCCAGTTGGCTCTGTGGCCTGATCCAGGTCGCCCAGCCGACCGCGCAGTCATCGAAGCAGGCGTCTACATGCGCGGCACATTGAAGATGATTCGGGACGCCGAAACGACGCTGTTGAAGAAGATGCAAAAGGGAAAGAAGGGCAAAGGGGACGGACCGTCGTTCGATCCTAAACTTCCCAAGAGCGTTCGTATTTATGTCGCTTCGCGATTCCCGGAGTGGCAAGATGTTTGTGTGCAAGCGATCAAAGACTCGTATTCGGTGGAGACGGATAAAGTGGACGATGTTAAAGTCAGAACTATCCTGACGGAGAACGGAATGATCAAAGATAAGCGTGCGATGCCATTCGTCCAGGCTTTCAAGGTACATATACTCTTCCGATATGGACGTATATGTGGACTCATCCAAATACTATTTATCACACAGAAACGAATGTCCGAGATTGGTGCTACCAACGCGTTCCGACGGACCTTGCCATTCTCAGAGTCACAGATCTTGGCTGAATTCTTGTCTTACCTGAAGAAATCTTTGAATCTAGTGGATGCGGAGGTCTTTTCGGTAGAGGAGGCGTTGCAAAGACAAGGTCAACCTGGGTTTACACCTGTTATCATCGAAACATCGGAGCCGGGCAGTCCAGCTTTCGAGTATCGCAATGTATAGAAACGCTCTACATAGATCCTATTGTGCTTACCCCTAATCATTACAATGGAACGGATTCCTTTTTTTGAGGTGGCCGGACAATGTCAGGGACCAGCCTTAACTAGGTAGCGGAATCAAGCAAAGTGGATACCCTCGTCATGAAAAGCAGCCAGCAACCTGTGATGAGACGTTAGATGTACTCGAAAAGGACCCCTCAAAAAATTGACCAACTTCAGCAGATCGTCCACTGTCATCTTCGCCGCTCTCTGGTCTGAATAACCTGTGGAATTGAGAATATTTGCGACCATTTCCTTGATGTTGGCGTCATCTGCGATTATCTGAGAAGGTTATGAGATCCACGAATTTGCCCACTTCTGTTATTCTTTCTACAAGCGTACCTTATTCTGTAATGAACACCACGTCCGCCAGTTTTTTTCGAGCATTTCCATCACGCCTTTAGCCGTAAACGATGCATGCACCGTCTTATTCCTCCGCGAGAACACGATCCGCCCCAGTCCATCGAATTCCTCAAACTTAATGGGTGGCGGTGGATCGAGCGGTGCAATCCTAACCACGGACGATTCTACCTTCGGAGGCGGTCTGAAATTATTTTTGCCGACGTTCATGATCATGTCGACTTTTGAGTATAGCTGCACGTTGGCGGATAGTCGGGACCATAGGTCCGTCCCTGGTCGTGCTACTAATCGCTGTGCGAATTCGCGCTGGAACATGAGAATGGCGACTCGTGGGAGAGGTCGGTGGGAGAGAATGCGGAAGACGAGTGGGGAGGATATCTGGTATGGCGTGTTGGATATACAGACGTCGAAATAAGGCAGCTCCGCTTTGACGAAGTCGCCGATGATGATGTCCAATTTCCGTTGTTCAGGTCTATTACACCACCCTTCAGACCCTGAAAGGTGCAGATATTGGAGGGGAGAACGCACTTTCCCTGGACACGCTTTCGTGACTTCTGCAGCCATTCGGGGATCCATTTCTACGGCGGTAACATGTTTTGCTTTTTCTAGAATTCTGACGGTGAGATTGCCAGTCCCGGGACCAACTTCGAGGACTTTATCCGTTGGGCGGAGGTTTGCCTAGGAGCGAATCACGTTGTCGATTGCAAGAGAACGATGCAAAAGCCATCTCACTTTATCTACGATGCTTGAATGACAAGATCAGTTTGTTTGTTCTTTTCGTTACCATTTCGTCTAACGAAGAAAAGCGTACGTTTGTGCGATTTGAGGATTTTTCAAGATGTGTTGTCCAAATCTCTCCGTATTGAAGATGGGGTTGTGAACGCCGGAGGAGCTATTACTCTCTGCATTGTCGTGGCTCCTTAACGAAGACTGGCCCCTAGCTGCTGATTTTATTGAGGATTGGTGTGTGCGAGAAAAGCGTTCTGAGGTTGCTCTGGGCATCGTCGGTTAGTACTTCAGTGAACAAGTCTACTAGTCGATGGGGCTGCTGTCCAATTTTGGCTGTCCACCCATGTGGGATGTGCGACTCGTCACTCGATAGCATTTTTCCATAGTCAGTAGCCAATTCTGGTTGTTTGCTTAGGAATTTACTCGTGGCCACCGTCATCAAAAAGCTGGACTCGACAGCATTTTATCAGTCCTGTAAACCTACATACTCCGTTCTTCGTGGCTGTCGTGTCTGTGCAGTGACCTAGTATTGATTGACTTCGGACCATCCACAATCCAGTGCATACTACATGCTAGAATTCTCAGCACCAGCGTTCACGTTCAGCAAAAAATGTAGGCGAACAGGAATCACCAAACGCCCTGGTCTGGCCCCAAGTGCCCTCACTTTCCTCTCACGGAGCTCTCCGCTTAGTCAGCGGCCACCCATGGCTGTGGGCACACCACCTTGCAAACTTTCCGGAATAAATTGACTACGTACAGTACGTAGCAATTACAAAGCAGTGCCCCACAATTCCATTCCCCTCCACTGCATCTACTGGGAGCCACAACGTCCCTCATTCACAGGTATGGCGCTCAATGGACATACCCCCGTCCTTGGGGCATCGAATTGCTATTTCTGATACCTCGGTCACTGTATGAAGGCCGCAAGTTAACTCCATGCGCCCGTTTAGCTATGCCAACGGCCTTTCGCCCTGAGATCCCAATTCAGGAGGAGGACTTTGATCCAAGATTTGGCCTACGATGCAACAGACTTCCGAGCTGGATCTTTCCCATGTAGATTAGCCTGAGAAGTTTTCGCTGAGCGAAAGACTCGGGTGCCTCTCGCAGGAAAGTCGGCTGTTGGCCTAGTAACGTCACACAGACCCTCATCCAGTGGTTCAATCCACGACCACGCTCCATCTACCCTCCACAAGATAAATAGTGGAACCGTGCGAGGTGGTAGCTGCTTTTCAACACTCAACGACTGGTTATACGATGTTACGAATCCCTTGGAAACTTGACCTCAACAACCAAGTTGACCGAGATATTTCCCTGGTCCCTCTGCGAGGCACTAGAGCCCTAGTTTACCCAGGTAACCTCCGTTTGTCGGGCAGGAAAGTTGCCATCAAAGTATTTCGTTTCGGTCCTCCCACCAGCGAGCAGGCCCTCAAGGTAAAGGCATTTACTTCGGCAACATTTTGCAAACTCACTATTACTTTGCAGCGTATCTACCGCGAGGTGGCTTTATGGAAGAACCTGCATCACCGAAACATCCTTCCTTTGCTGGGCATGACCACTCAGTTCGACTACACAATTTCACTTGTAAGTGAATGGGCGGCAAAAGGAAACGCATTCGACTATGTGCAGAACCAAGCAGTAGATCCGCGTCCCCTGGTGAGTTGCATTCTGCATGAAATAGTTCCTTGTCTCAGATGTGTGATTGCTAGCTTATAGGCATTGCAAGTGGGCTAGATTACCTCCACGGCCGTAAAATAATCCATGGTGATCTCAGAGGCGTAAGTCGCAATCCGCTGATGCATGACACCTTCCTTGATGCATTTACCATTCAGCACAATGTCATGGTCTCTGAGGACGGTCAGGCTATGATTACCGACTATGGTGTTTCATCCCTAGTCGATGCTGAGTTTGATCAAAACGCCGCCATCTCAGCGCCCGGTGGGCGCAGCATAAGATGGATGGCGCCAGAGAGTATGGAAAGTTACGGAGAAGTCAGCATACAAGGCGATATTTGGACACTTGGCATGACAATATTGGTATGTCCTCATTCGCGCCCCAATTTCTCGGACCTTAAGCTTAGCCGTCCCTGATCCAGGAACTATTCACCAGACAACCGCCTTTCTACTACATTTCTGGACTGCGGGCGGTCATTGGTCGGATTATGGACGGACAGCCAGATAGACCCAGCGGTCCAGCTACATGTTTCCGCATGACTGACACTTGGTGGAATCTATGCTGTCTCTGCTGGGCCCGTGATCCTTGGCAGCGCCCTTCTATGCCGGACATTATCAGAATAATAGAGCGAATGTGGTACGTTCATTTCTGTACCAGTATCCAACATTCTGATGTGCAGTGCAGATTTTCACGATAATCAGAGGCTTTCTTCTAAACATGTTGCCACCGTACTCCGTTTTCCAGGTATACTCTTCTCTTCGCTAGGTGTGTGTTAGCCGTAGTAGCTGTTTCAGCAGGCATAGAGTTTTACGATCGTGGTATGGTTCTTAACATGCTTTTTTTTTTTTCATTTTCAGCTACTTATTGGCATAGCTTTGCATGTATCTCCGTTAAGGCACTTTGACAGGACTTGGTGCTGCAGTTTTAATCGCCACTGGGACACTTGTAGCAGCGTGTTCTGTACCAGTTACGGGAGGTTCGAAAACACGTGTGTTGGTATCTCGAGAACCATGATGGCCTTCAGGCTTCCTTGTAGGTTTGAGTTTTCTTTGCCTACCTGCTTCCACCATTTGTTGCAGTACACATTCCAAAGAAAACGCGATAGGCAGATAATGCGGACTCAGTAAGTGTGTGCAGTACTTCTTGCGGCGGTATTTACTACTGGCCGCTGTCTAAACAGGTCGCTTTGGGTTTCGGTGGAAATACGCTTATCACCACTGGAAGAACCTGGTTGATGATGTGGCCATAGAACGACTAGCGTAATGGTCGAAACCGTTCAGGCGCGTTGAACCGCGCTTGAATCTCACCGGTATTGTGTATGCATGCGCGCTTCTCGGGTCTCGTTGAGAAATGGTAATCGGATTTATGCTTTTGCTGATTGCATTCAGCTCCACTCTGCAGGTATACGGGCCCGGATTGCAGCTCCGCAGAAGCACGCGCTCAGTGAGCTGGCTAACCTGGTAGATGACAATCTTCTCGGGTATTGTTTGAAGTGTTAATTCTCCCAATCATTGGGCGGCGCAAAAGCTGAAACATCGCATCAGTTTAACAACCGGTGGTGCTTGTTAAAATAGCCAAAGTGGGCCTATAACTGCGGTTCCTGGACCTTGCAGAAGAGCGAAGATGGTGAGGCCCCCCCGAGTTCAATTCATATCTGCAACAGCAACCATCAGTTTACAGTAATGACAGTGTAATTGACGAAGCTCAGCTGGACGCGGTTTCATTCGGTACTCGCCACCCGCAGTCAGCAGGGGCGTTACGCTCGTAATAAAGACGAGGGTTCCCATGCGACCACAAATCTCGTACCTTTTTAAGGCCGACGCACACTAGCGCACACGAATAAGACGCTAAAGCCGAAACATCGCGTCAGAGCAGTGGATAACTTAGAATGCTCTCGAAATCTGTTATGGTTATTGCTTTGAGTTCATCAGATGTTTTTTTTTACTCGGACGATGGCAATGTGGAAGTTCCTCGGTTGATGCGGGATTGATCATGGCAAATTACTCCCTGTGCACCCGCTCACAGCAAAACTCAATTGACATCCCTTTTAGCCGGCGCAGCTCCAAACACACTGCCTCCTCGGCTTCATTTCGGCTTTTTTGCGAGTATCGGTAGGGCTTCGTCATCACTTCTCCAATACGAAGACAAGCACCATGTTCAGAGACATCAGTGAGTGTCTGGACATGAATACCAATGTAGGTCGGGCGCAGGCTACGAACCGGTAAAGATGTGGTTGCAAGAATGCATTAAAGAGCACGAGCCACTCCCAACACGCATACTTGATGTTACCCCTACCCTGTAGGGAGATTTTCTTCGAGAATCTCTATTCGATGAACTGGATGCAGGAAGTCGGGAAGTTGGTGATGATCGATGACCCGTCTCTTTGCGTGTACACGATGGACCAGCCTCGTTGTCGACAACCACTCGGCGCTCGTCGTGAAGTGGAACCAAAGGTAAGTGAACTTCTAAAAGATGGGTATGATTTGTATGGGTACAGAAATCCCAATGCTACTCAGAAGCTACCTTTCACATTAGCTCCAGTTCACATGCGCGCAGCAGCTGCACCGCTTTCAGGGGGTTGTCCCAATGGTACCTAAGCCGGAGGCTGGAGTGGCTCACAAGGCCTGAGGACATGATATGCGGTGCGATGTGTTACTAATTCATCCTTTCTGGTATGCTTGGTGATCCGGACGTTTCCCATTTCCTTGCTAACTAGCTCTTTACTATTGAACCACGTGGACTCTATTTGCAAATTTGCAGCACAGGTTGAGGACAAGCAATTCTTTGGTGAGTAAATAATTCAACACGCCACGTTGATGCTGGCAGCCGATTTTACTCCTCTACTAATTTAATACGCTTTCCACCACTCCTCAGAAACCTTCTACCACATCCAACTAAATCTTCTCGATCATCGCAATGCATTCGGAGGTCGTAGAACTTCCGATCTGGACGCTAACCTGTATGCGCAATGACGGCAGAATCATGAGTGACATGTCGCGAAAGGACAGAAGAAAGAACTTGCCTTGTAACCGTACTCAGAGTCCTCATGCCGATTATTCGCTTTGTCGTCCAGCAAATGCAGCATGTAACTCTCCGAACCCACCGCCCACCAATGATCCTTCTCCTTTGACTCCGCCCAGCACGTAGGGTCATAAGCTGTATTCCAAGGGTTTTGCCACCCAATGAAGATATCAGTGTTCTCGGTCGTGCGGTAGATCACCGCGCCTGCACTGCCAACAGCCTGGGCCGTGGGATGGACGTGGATGAATGTCGTCCATTGGCCGTTCTCTACGACAGATGGAGGCGAGTCTTTGTAAAAGGAGCCGCGCCAGCTGTGGTCGAAATTGACCTTGATCGGGTCGCCGCTGGCATTATAGAAGCGGCATAGCGTACTGACAACACCGTGATGCACAGCAATGAGTACAACTGCCCACTCGGAAAATGACAGTGGATCAACTAGCAATCGACTCACCTAACGCCATTTCCGTAATCACTCTTGAGCAAGTCGAGACGCTTGACGGCCTCACTGACGTACACGTCCCTTTGCTGCATGGCGACTTTGCTACGGTCCTGCGCAGTCAGCTGACTGTCGGATTTGCCCTTGTATTCTGGGAGGGTGCGAAGGAAGTCATTGGTGATCGGAATGCCGAAGTTCATCTTTCTGTTTCTTGGTCGAAGTGAAGTAAAGTCGGGACTGACTCAGTCTTGAGAGTTCACTGGCTCTTGTGGAGAAGTGGTCCACTCTTTATATCGAATCGCGCCGCCGCGAGACCGCGAAGGACCACCCCTGGGTACTACACAGTACACAGGCGTGAATACTTCGCATCCGTGATGTGCGGAAGGATCTGGGATTAGATCTGGTCTTACCTTGTGCAATCACGGTCCCCGTTGAAGCCCCCACGGGGCCCCATCTACTATGTATTACGAACCGAACAGGAACAGGATTGGAAGCACACCGCCAGGGCGTGAATACTTCGCACCCATGACACATGAAATGGTTTGGAACTTGCCTCGTGCAATTACGACCCCATTTGAAGCAACACCGCTCCGCAGGGCCCGAATCTACTGTATATTGCAAACCGAACAGGAACAGGATTAGAACTTGGAAGTGCGCAACCAGGGCGAAAATGCTTCGCATCCGTGATGTATGGAAGGATCTTGGACTTACACACCTTGTGCAATTACGTCTCCCGTTGAAGCACCCTGAAGCCCGGCCCTCATCTGCTGTGTACTGCAAACCGAACAGAAACAGGATTGGGACTTGGAACTTGGAAGTATGCAACCAGGGCGTAAATACTTCGCATCCATGATGTATAGAAGGATCTCGGACTTACATACGTTGTGTAATTACGGCCTCCGTTGAAGCAATACCACACTGCGGGGCCCCACCTACTATGCGCTACAACTACCGAACAGGAATAGGGTCGGAACTCGGAAGTACACAACCAAGGCGTGGATACTTCGCATCCACAGTGTATAGAAAGATCTGGGACTTACTTCGTGCAATTACGACCCTCGCTGAAGCAACACCACCCCCCAGGCCTTCTTACAACCGGAACTGGAACAGAATTGCAACTTGGAAGCATTTTCGGGTATTGTTGCAAGCCGGTGGCACATTTGAGGCCGGGGCTCCATCTAATGGGAATGCCAAAAAGGTTTTTCTGATATTACAGCCCGGGGACGATACTTCGCATTATGATTATGTTAGTAAGACCCCCACTGAAGCAATACCACCCCATGAACCCACCTCCCATGGTTCGCAAACCGAACAGGAACGAGACTGGTTGAAGTACACGGCCAGGATGTGAATACTATTTGGATCTGATAATCTGATTATGCCGCTAATGCTGAGAATAATTGCAAAGTGATGGCACACTGGCCCTCTGGGCAATCCAGGAGATGGTCATTTTGCACCTCCGGAATTCTGCAAGAAGGGAATGTTGGAAACGAGACTACTATCACGAAGCAATATACTTACATAGGTAAGAAAGAAAAAGAAAAAAGTTACACCCATACATCCATCCTCCTGGGGTGGCAAACACCCAAAAATTTGCTTTGCTCCAGGCTCATATACAAGTTATAACTGCGAATGCACGTATATTCACCTATATACACAGGAGACGCATACTAGTGCGGTGTAAGCTGATATGCACACTCTGGGCGACTTCGTGAGGTGAACAAAGTGCAATTCATCCCAGTTTGGAAATATCAAAGTGGGCTGAAGTCGGCACTTCCATCCACCTCGAGCTGAGTTCAGTTCGACAGCAACATTACAGCGGTTTGCGAGAATAATGTCAGTTAGCAAAATATTTGTGAGCGTGTCATGAGCTCTGCCCGATATGGAAATGTAGGAATGTGTGCTTTTCGTTTTGGGTGTTTGCCATCCACCAGGAGGATGTATGTATATATGTAACTTTTTTTCTTTTTCTTTCTTACCTATGTAAGTAAATTTCTTCGTGATAGTAGTCTCGTTTCCAACATTCCCTTCTCGCAGAATTCCGGAGGTGCGAAATGTCCATGTCCTGGGTTGCCCAGAGGGCCAGTGTACCATCACTTTGTAATTATTCTCAGCATAATCAGATTATCAGATCCGCAAAATATTCACATCCTGGGTTTGGGAGCTGGCCACACCCTTACGATACGCATCAAATGATGGCGAGTTTTTCCTGCCGGCCATCTTCTCGGGCCGTCACCAAGTCCTTACAGAACAGGACCCGCTTCTGCGTCCTGGAATTCTTTGGGATTCTAATGCAAGTGGTTCCATAGAAGCCAGGGGGTGAATACTTCGCATCCGACGTGATGAATGGAAGGATCCAAGACTAGATCTGGTCATACCCTCTACAATTACGGTTTCCGCCGACTCGGGATGAACAATACCGACCCCATCTACTATGATTGCAAACCGGGGACTGAGAACCGATGTCAGCTGATGTAGGGTATTGTGATTCTAATAAGTTGAACCTGATCGAGGCTGCTCAGCAGGCTTTACCTCTCAATCACGTAGGTCAAAGAAAATGTCTTCTGACGACGATACCACCGTACACGACGATATCCCTTGCCCAAGCTACGACAAGCTGCTGGAAGCAGCAAATACTCTCGCAGATGCGGAGGACCTGGCATTGCGCTATCGTCAATACAAGTCTTCTCTGGAGCGCAACTGGTTCTACGAGTCAAAGGAAAACGGACTTAAAGCGGTTGTTGACGCCTGTGAGGCAGGGAAGGCAGCCGAAGCGGGCGCCACTTCAGAGGTGAACAAGTCCACAACCGAGATGGTCTACTGACCAGAAATTAGGAGTTGAATGACCCGTATCACGCTTCCTTTGCGTACAAGACGCTGCGCCTTTTTACACGCTTTGCTCTGCTTTCCATCAAGAATTCGAATGCCCGGGCTGAATACATCAGCAGCATCGCGTGAGTAGCTCTGACCAGTGACAACTGCCATGATTTCTTTATTTTGTTGAATTCATACTTTCTGCAAGGTCCTATGCCAAGGGATATGCCGCTGCCCTAAGTAACGACGCTAAACTCGCTGCAGAACGTGCTGTCGCGGTTAGAAACGCTGCCCGGCGGGCATTTCTGGCGAAGACTTCCGCTAGCAACCAGTGGTTCGATGGCGTGATGAAGTCCATTTTTGACAAAGAGGGACCCAACTTTGCGTCCCTTCTCAATTTCTGTCGTAACCAGCTCTATCCGGAGAAGACGCTCAAGCAACTGGGCGAATCCGAGCGGGTGTGTTTCGAAGATCGCCAAAGTCTATCCCACCTGCTAATATTATACATGCTGGTCCTCACAGGCCCTCCTATTCGCCAAGGTCGTCGAGAATTCGGGGCGGAGCAATTTCACGCATGACCTCATTTTCAAGGCCGAAGGGGCAATCGGCTGGACGGTGATCATCGCGACGCTCGGCCTCCTCGTTTACGATATCGTTGATTCCCAAGCAGACTTCACGTCTAAAGTGGTGGAAGTACTCGGCGATGGGGCAGAATTTTTGGGCGTATGGGTGGGGGCTGCCGCTGCGGAGGCTTTGGCAGCTTCGCTCTTCGGAGAGGCTGCCACGCTTACGATCATGCTGTTTGGCCTCGCTGGGGGAATTATTGCCGGGTTAGCAGTTGCAGGACTTTTTGAAGCTCTCAAGGCCTTATTTTCGGAGATATTCAATTCTCAGTGAGTAGGCGACTCATTAATGGTCCCTGGCCAGACGCCAACCAATCCGACAGGTCGCATGCTCTGTGGGAAGAATACCTCAAGCAGCCATATGTGTATAAGGTGAAGCTTCCCCAGGTGGTCCTCGATATCTAGAATCAGCCACAGCCACCAGTCTGTACTTGTGTACCATTAGTTTGAAAGAAAAGTTTCGGATTCCCAAGTATTGTTTCACATAAGTTACTGCGGCGGAAGCATATCTATTAACTTCTCCCTGTATGTGATCGCACTTCAATGCATGTACTTTGGGACGGACGGTGTGGGAAAAATTGGTTGTTAAATTTCGCAACTATTAACGCTTCTAGGTTTGGGTATTACCATATTTAACCCGCAAATCATGGGTCCACGTAGCCCCAGTCCCTCAAATTCAACCTCCGTGGAGTCTGCATGCGATGTTTAAGAAACCCTCGTCCAATCTGAAGGCACGTGATTTAATAAGCCACGCAATATGCCTACTCGATGCCATCAAAGCGCCCACTTTGCAACTCCAGCAGGGCAAGCTCAAACATCACGTCATAGCGGCGTACAATGATGTATCCCCCGAAATCGGGGACGTTCTCTTTCCAGAAGGACTCATACCTCAGAAGTTTATGCCAAATATGAATGAACAGGGTGGACGTGAATCGCTCTGAGTCTAGCGTGTGGCCGTTCTGTTCTTTGATCCCCTATCAGGTCACATACTGGTGATCCTTCCTGGCTCAGCGCCGGAATGGGTGCGGACGAGATCATTCTACAGGTATGTGGTTCACTCTTGGACACCATACCTCTGATGATCCCTGCGTTGACATGTCGCACCCGCCAAACGTCGTATTGCTCCGCCACACCTAAAAATGCTTTCGATCACCTAGCGTATCTAACTAAGCCTTCTCGACCATCGTAACGCAGACGGAAGTCGTAGAACTTCCGATTGGGACGTTAGCCTGCACGGAGAACGAGCGTGGTTATGTGGCTTGACATGTCTCGGAAGGACACCAAAAACTTGCCTTGTTGTCATGCCAGAGTCTTTTTTTGCACTGGAGTGTCATTTCGCATTTACATTTGTAACCAGGTTCAAACCATGGGGCTTCTACATGGCCCTCCACTGCAAACGCGAGGGCATGTTTCGGGGCAATTGGAAACGACCAAATTTTTCAAACCTTTCAACCAAAGTTTGCGTATATATACTTGGCGTTTGTTCAATGGCTGAGCCACACCAGCCCTCATCTCAGAACTCGATTTTCTCTAACTAGCGCAACCTATCTTTGCCACAATGCTTGAAATGCCTGTCATATCGCGTTCTCGCCACCACGGATGGCTGCTTCGCAACCCGGAAAATTACAACGCTTTCCTTGGGACAAAGATCAGCGATGCACGTCACCAGCTCAGCCGCCAGACTGGCGCTGAGCACAAGCATAGCAAGCCTGTTCAGCAGTTTGCCCACCCTATCAATAAACATCCCACCATGAAAAAGCTTTTCGGCGAAATCTTCTCCAAGTAAACACCGACCTCAAGGTGTGTCCTCGCAACCATCATGACCACGCTATGCAAACTGACTCTTTCTTAGTGGGTTGACCCTGCCAATGTCGTGACAGACTTTGACACCCTCTTGCATATGCTTGATGTCATTGTTCACGAGCCCCAAAAATTTTTACCAGGCGAGGCGCACCGATGATACCATCATCGGGGAACTAGTTACGTACCAGCGTACCTCGTCTTCGATATGCTCAGCAACACTTCTGCAGCCTACGACTTGTTCCGTATGAAGAATTCAATGAAGCGCTTAATCATTTGCTGAACTGTTGGGGCAAATACCTTCACAGCCCTGGGTCCAACTCTACGCTTAACACTGGGGAGGATGGATGGTTCAATCCGAAGGTCATGGAAATCCTCACGTCTGGCCTGGGTCCACTGTCCTTCGAGCAGACCTACGTCTGTCCTGATCCTAATGCAGAGAACAAAAGCTTCCAGTTGTGGGATGCCTTCATCAGAGAGGTCCGGCCTCAGGCGCGCCCCGTCAGGTTTCCTGATGACCCATATTTCATTCACAATGCCTGCGAGTCGACCACCCTCCAAATCGCTACTAATGTTAAACTTCACGACACGTTCTGGCTCAAGGACCATCTCTACGACATGCTCGGTGACAATGAAGAATATGCTTTGCCATTCGTCGGGGGAACGGTTTATCAAGGCTCCTTGGTCCTCAAGACTACCATCGCTGGCGCAGCCCTATCAACGGTAGGATTAAGAAAGCCTATGGAGTGGAAGGCTCTCACTATGTTGTACTGCCTGATGAAGGAGCCCCTCAGGGCGACTACGACCTCGAACCGGGCGATCCCTACGGTGCCCTCATTCGTTCTCAGCCCTGGCTTACCGTTTCCGCCACTCGCGCTCTGATCTTCATTGAGGCAGACGAGCCTGTCGGTTTGATTTGCTTCATCGGGGTTGGTATGGCGGAAGTGTCGACTTGTGCGCTCAGTGTCAACGACAGTGACACGGTGGTCAAAGGCCAAGAGATCGGCATGTGCCACTTCGGTGGATCTTCTGTTGTGCTTATCTTCAGTCCGGAGGTGAAGATACGCTTCGAAGATATCGATGAACAGCCCATTACGCGAGGCCGCCACTACTGGGTCAACACGCTCATTGGCAGGGTCACTTGGAATTAATTTAAACTGTAATGGTGAACTTGAGCTCGATGGCGAGGTGATTTGAGCTGGTTGAGCGCTGAAAATTATCGTAAGATACAGTACAGAGTTAGGGATCACCTTTCTGCAATGTCGCGTACCGTTAGCGCATAGGGAGTCTGTTTCAAGCGTTTGAATGTAACCCTTCGCTGGGTGGAGCCAGAGAGGAACGCGGCCCTCTTGATACTATGCCGCGTGGTCACCTCATCCGTAGCGGCCTTACGCTCAGCACCAGAAGACTATCGTAGCTCTCTGTCAATATCGGAGATCTGCGAAGCCTATTGGAATAGCGGTTCATTACAACCTCAGAGCTGGTGCGACCGCTGGCCGGTTAAAGGGTTATTCAGTGTTGATCCTGGTTACGACGCGTGGCTCTGCTGTCTAGCTTGCAACGTTTGTTCAATGAAACGGGCCGCATGGACGAGATCTGATTCAATCAAGGTAGAATCGAATGGGCTCTAGAGGAGGCAGTGTTCCAGACCTCCAAATTGGGGTTGCGTGGAACGTCCAAGCCATACTTGAGGACGCTTCTTACCTGGGCGACGGATTATTATACTGAGCGAGTAGATTCAAAACGGCGGCACTGGTCGGAATACATGCGGGGAATACTTGACCGGGTCCAGACACCTTTGGGCGTGAATTTTACCAGCGCATATCAAACCACGGATATTCATTTTCCCATACTTACCTGCGCTCTCAGCGGGATGCCGGGAACACGAGCATCGTGTTTTCTAACAAAATACCACCCTATCACCACGCATCAAGAAACCGTCTTCCTGAAGCTAGTATACCTCAGTTTTTTTTTTGCATGACGCCGCCGAAATCTTGGCACCTTTCAGGTCATGAGCGGCCCAGCCTGAAGGCTTTCACCCACCCCGTAAAGCCCGAGACCTGAGTTGACCCGCCGTGGGACTCCTGGCGGGGTGGGCCTTGTGGAGGGCACCTTTTCGTAATTGACGTAATATTACTTGCACAACGTGGACCGTCTCTGCACGTGGCCTGCCACACATTTCCGTACCATAATCGGAGAACTCTGCTTCAGCCTCTGCATACGATGTTCAAGAAACCCTTGTCTAATCTGAAGACATCTGGTAAGTCACACGATACGGTCCAGCCCCAAAGCAGCCTACCTACCCGATGTCATTGTCATCAAAGCCCCACTTCGCAGCTCCGACAGGCGCAAGCTCAGACAGCGCGTCATAGCGGCGTACAATGTATCCCCTGAAATCGGGGACGTTCTCGTACCAGAAGGACTCCTATCTCAGAAGTTCACGACAAATATGAATGAGCAGGGTGTACGTGAATCGCTTTGAGTCTAGCGCGTGGCTTGTTCTGTTCTCTGATCCCCTATCAGGTCGCGTACTGGTCACCCGATGGTGATCCTCTCTGGTTTAGCCTTGGAAAGGGCGCGGACGAGCTCATTCCTACGGGTATGTTGTTCACACTTAGGCACCAAACACCTGACGATCCTTTCCGTCTGACGCGTCGCGTTAGTATACACACTATGGAAGAAGTATGACTTGCTTCCGTGTATCACAACTCCAGCCTCGGTGATACCTGTCCTAGTTGGAGGGGCTGATCTCATGATACCTGGAGGTAAGTAAGCACGTATCGCACCTTTCTGCATGCGCACGCGCAATTTCCACAGTTGTCCAGATCCCTTCGTCGCAGACAGTGGTACCACCGCAACTAGTGGCTATCGCAGAATACACCAGCGACTACCCTACCACACGTGGACCACCGTTGGCAGTCGGACTTCTAGCAGCGGATCTTGACAAATTGAAAGCTGGAGGGAAGGGGAAAGCAGTGCGCCTCCTGCATAGCTGGAAGGACTGTTTATTTGCTATTGGAAACAAGGCGGATCCTCCGGAGGTAGTTGAGATACAAGAAACCGGTGAGAGAAATGAGGGACAGGAGGGAAAAACAGCCGAGATAGATGTCGTTGAACAGGACAAACCGGGTGCAGAAGTTCACGAAGCCGAAGGTACGGGGGAAGGCAATGCAGGACCTCCCGTGGAATCGACACCCGGGAATTCGGTTCAGCAACATCGTCCAGCGCCTCAGCTCTCCAAAGAAGGCGAGTTTTACTTGAATTACCGTTGTAATGTGGCTCAAGCAGAACAGAGGTGTCCACCATATTACGCAATGCTGTATTGCAAGCAATACATAGCACCCTCAAGTCCTTGCCAACCTCATCATTCCCGATACCAGCGGGCACTTTCTACTCGTCGCACATTCTACCTTACCGACCCGCGTTTGTCCGCAGACTCGTAACCGAGATAGATAACCCCCCTACAGCATCAGGAGATGATGGTGGCACGTCGGAGTATCCGCTGATAGACATCAAACATTCCACCTATAAGTCTTTGGCTGCCTTCCTCAAAATATTAGACAAGCAGGGTATCTTGACAATCAAGGACACGAAACCGGAACCTCTCGTAATGAGTGTCTCCGCGTCCCACGCTGAGGTGCTGTCTCACACTCCGTACGTGTCACTCCGTGATGTGCAACTCAAGGGAGAGAAGCGGGAGAAGAGAGAGGAGGAGGAGAGGGCCCGAGTACATGAAATGGAGATCAAGGAACTGTGGAAACCACACGCAGCGAGCGGGTCAGAAAGATTCTTCTCAGAAGGGGGTTTTGAGTAAGTGATGGCGAAGAAAAATATGATGGACTAATGGTTGATCTTGTCCCAGCTCTTCAGCCATGTATACGCACACGGAGCTGAAGGCGACGGTGATCAAGTATATCACTGATCGCCAGTTGACCAACGCGTACGATCAGTCATATGTCAATGTCAGCCAGGACGAGGTTTTACTTAGTACACTGGCTAGGAAGAATGAGAGTGGTGAGAGTCTGGAATTTTTGAAGCGTGAAGAGGTGGTACAGAGGTTGTCGGAAAAGATGCAGAACTGGTACGAGATACGAGCAGAAGGTCGGGACCCTCTGATGAGGTATGTACTTTCAGCTGTACTCCCTGCGAGTTTGTGTGACATGTCCCAATAGGAAGGGACAGCTGAAACCCATCTCTGTGGTAGCCAAGACGAGACAGGGTAGGAGGGCGAATACGCTCATATCCGGTTTTGAGTCGTTCTTGCTGGAAGCTGAAGAGATGGCAGAGGAGCTGAGGCGCATCTGTGCAGGTGCCACTGGAGGTGTGTGCGTCCACCTCTAGGCTGTGGTCCCACTGCTGAGTATTGTACAGTGTCCCCCTTGCCGGGGAAACCGGTGAGGTCGGAAGTGTTGGTACAGGGGAAGCAGACCAAGGCTGTGGTGGAATTTTTGCTATCAAGGGGAGTACCAAAGAAGTGGATAGAAACTGCCGACTTGACGGGCAAGAAGTGAAATGCTTGTACTTTGATGTTGTTATTTCAATCAAGTTGTAGTACCCACGCATCCTAGTCAGACCCATCAACTGCCACTACCGGTATGATTCTGAACCCAGCGACACCCGTCGCGCTACTCGCCATTCTGCGTGTGTCGGACGTTCGCCCCAACATTCCACCGTGTCTTGCGAATAATTTCTTTGGAATCTTCGGCCAGCAGTCCGTATTCAAGATACCCGACTCCTCGTGCTTTGAGCTGCTCCCGAACACCGTTGACGAGGGCTCAGTAGTTCCTTTGTACTTGCCAGAGGATGGGCCGCAACAACTAGTCTGGATACAGGAGTCATCCATCCACAAGTCCCTTCGGACGCCCAAGTACGAGGCTGAAGTTGCAGATTTCGTTGACTGGCTACTCTCTAAGAAGCATATCACGTATCCTGACGGACAGACCGTCCTATTTGAAGGCGAGAAGTCTAGCCCAGTTTCTCTCGTCTATCATACTACCAACTCCGGTGTTGTCGCTGTTGCCGACCAGGGCGCTGCGCATATCCTGTCTACTCGTCTACCTCGGTTCTGGAAAGCTTCGCCTATCCCTGCATCGCCTGTATCATACCTCCCCGTTCCAGATGCCGCAATCGAGCGCGTCCGTGATCTCCTCGTTTCCCTTCGATTCGACGCTCTCGTCGCAGGCATTGTCAATGGGATCTCTGTGGAACAGATGCACAAGGACATCCGATACCTTACCAACGAAGACGGAATGTCGGGCATTGCCTCTAGACATTCGTTCCACCACGGCTCGAGGGTCGCTGGCGAGTGGTTAAAGACACAGTTCGAGCATGCGGGCGCAAAGTGCAGGTTCATGCCATTCTTGGAGGGCTTCGCGCCCAATGTCATTTGGTAAACTTCCGTATCAACATGAGGTCTACCCTGTAACTTTCTGACATTGAATTCCAGTCGATACGATGCTAAGACGGAGAGTCTTGATACCGTGCTTATCTCCGGTCACTATGATTCCCGTGGTTCTTTCGGTATGGAACGAGTAAGTCAGAAGAATTCGTTCAGATTGGTTTCCTCGAATCTTCTCTGCTTCACAGGCACCGGGCGGGAACGACGACGGTTCAGGGACAATCTCAATTCTCAATATCGCACGACGGATAAAGCAAACTGGTATAACCTTTAGGAACAATGTCGAACTAGTTGCCTTTGCTGGTGAAGAACAAGGTTTATTGGGATCAAAGGCATATGCGAGTATGTTGCTTTTTTCTCTGCATCACGGATTCGTCGATGATTGACACTCCTGGAAATGATTCGTAAAGAGGAACTGCGTGAGAGCGGCGCGAATATCATTCTTATGATCCAGGGAGATATGCTTGCGTATCGCGCTCCTGGCGAACCTCCTCAACTGGGTTTCCCACGGTCGTGAGTGTTGGCCCTTTATGCACCATGCGTTTACATATCTTCTACAGCATCGGCACCCCTGAAGTGACACAGCTTGTCGCCAACATTTCTGCCATCTACAGTCCTGAGCTCACAGTTGGGTTCACCCCTGCCTGCTGTAGCGATCACCAGGTGCGATATCGTACCCTTTTCGACCCTCCCAGATGAATATGAACACTCACGTTTTCCTGGTGGAAAGTCCTTCCATGAACAAGGATACCCTGCAACTCATCTTTTCGAACGTATGGGTCCAAGTGAGATTCTAATGCACATCAGGGCCTTGTTTGGGTTAACTGACACTGATGCTTCCAGTTGCCGACCCCATGTACCACAACAGTGGTAAGCAACCTGTAGTCATCGCAAGACAAGTATAAATGCGTTCCGGCAGGGGACCTCAGCGACAGACCAGGATACGACTTGAACCAGGTCCGCTCGATCTGTAAGGTCCAGGTACGTCTCTGTCCGGTTCGAATGTGACACCAACGAGTTAAGTGAGTGTGACTCCTAAGTTCGCTACATTGCTCCATGCTGCCGGTTTCGATCTCCCTGAAGGTGTCAGTTTAGAGGATCTGGAAGAGCATGATTGAACATTTGTATCGGGCGTGTATGGAGTGTTGTCGACTTTCCTGGAATCACGTCATGGACAGCACTCGTGGAACAGAATGCTTATACTTATGTTTATGTATATTGCTCTTACCTGCCCGAATAGGTTCACCGGTGCGGTTCACTACTTAGGAACGAAGGTCTAAGGCGTACGTTTTCACTACGTCAAGGCATCTGAGTTGCTTGTAACCTCTCCGCATTCACGTTTGCCTTTACCCCTTTTTTTCTGGTGCGGCCCACGGCACGTCGCATATCTGAGCTCCTTACTATGAGAACAACGGCATCACTGCAAGTCCCCTCTGCGTCCCCTTCAACGTAAATGACCTTCCTTTTAGTACTGATGCCAACTGTTAAGCCATTGCGTCCGTCACACTCACGAAGAGGGCCAGCAAGATAAGGTGCTGGCACGACGAAGTCCACGTAGGATGTTGTAAGATTGGGCTTGACGACCTACTACGGGTGATGGGACACTGAAAGTGCTGCGGCAGAGTTCGATTCCTTGTTCCTGCGGCGGCAGATGATTCACTTCCTGAACCTGTTTGAGGGTGGCGCAATAGAAAGATCTTTCATCTCATACCCATCGATCTATCTTGACATCAGTGATTGCATGCACCTGCTCGTACATACAAAGAGTAACAGCTTAATGCACTCGGAGATATCGAGCTGCAGGCAGTGAGAGAGAGCACTTTTCTCGGTGTCAAGGGTGTCCAGAACGTCGGTCTAGAAGGGGGCATGGCAATTCGTACATGTACTGGTACACAACGATCGTACTACAGCCAAGGTCCTTGCAATTACCCCTTGGATCCTTAGATTCTTTCATGTACAAGAAATTCCATCGCGATCTTGATCTAACATTACAACGTGAGGCAAGGGAACTCGGTATACACAGCCAGTGCATATTGGCTACATCATTCCGTTTGACACGTGGTCATCAATGAGTTGAGTTTTCCGGACGAAGGACATAATATCATGTTTACCAATATCCCTGTTTGTTAGGCCACGGACGTAAAGGGGGTTTGAGTGCTCGTACTCGGAGTCGAACCTGGGTTGGCCACAGCGGGGGTGTCCCTAGTCACACCTGACCACTTGTCTTGCTCTGCAGCCCGAGCGGCAAGCCACAACTGATGTTTCGATGTGCCTGCTCCTGCATCACGCATGATTCTGGAGTAATATGTGTCCGGTGATTCATAACGACGCGATATGCCAATAATGTCACCTACCGCCGCAAGTGAATTTGATCGTCATCGGGGTCTATCCGTGCACGTAAAATAATGTGGCAAATTTCCGATAAACCCTGCTGACGGGGTTACGATAACGTTCGGGCATGTGATGCCACTGACCTCCATGTTTCCTTCTCTCCGAATGTAATCCGAAACCTGATCCATGTCAAATGACATCTATGGAAACAAAAGAGTTCCCTCACCTTCGGTAACAGCTTGTCCACTTCCGCACAGATCCCACACCAACAGAGCCACATGATCTATTAATGAATGGTCCATTCTGGGGATCGAAAGGTGACAAGTTGATATTGCCCTTGCCTTTCCAGTGACGTCCTCCTCCAGTGCTCGTTGTTCATCTTCATCCTCTGTTGCGTCGAGTTTTGCTTGGAGCACCTCTATCTCTTCAACAATGTAAGGAATGTTGAGTTGCCTACGTACGACATTCAAGACGTGGACTGTTGGATGTTGATAAATAGGGTCCGACCTGTCATAATCAATGTTGCTCGCTTGACCTGTTGCCCTGGTACTAGGATACAACGAATCGTAGAACAAAGAAATGATTTGACGTCAAAAAAGGTACTCACGAGGACTCATGTTCACGGTATGCATTGTAAAAGGTAATTCTTATGTGTTGAAGTAGCTTTTTGTGATTAGAATTAGCCCCTACTTGATTTCGCCGATAGCAACACTCACGTCAGCACCCAGAGTTTGCCGTAGGGACTTCAACTCGCGCTGCATTTTTGCTGTTTCGTCAGCATAGCGATGCGGCGCATCATACTGTGCACAGAGAATTTGACACCGCCTGCGCAACAGAGGTACCAAAACTTCGAGGCACTGGTCCTGCATAGCATTGGATTGAGAACTGCCCATAAACAGGTAACGTGTCATCACCCGATCGGTGCATGACGTTTTTGGTGCACGCGTTAGTAAACCATCCTCTACAGCTGCAATGTAAGGTGGCGAACGAATATTCTTAGGGTGACCTGCCAACCTTCTACAATGCCTACGGAAACCTTGCTGTTTATCATCGAACAGAATCTTTTGAAGAATGTTATCTCGCCGATCTACATTCAATGGATGAGCATGACGAGGAGTTGAAAAAAAATGAATACGCACATAATTTCTCAGATGCTTGAGACCAAACATGTCTGAGAAGAACTTGATCGCTCCATCTTCCTTTTTCTTGCACTGTTGCCATCCTAAGTGTACGTTTGTGGTTCATACAGTTGTCAAACGCACCACAGATTTGTGGGGGGCTTCGGCTCTTGTCGGTTGACGCTGTAGATGACGTCATAGGCACAGGCGAATAGTGTGAGAAGGGAAGGTATCATATTCACGAGGGAGTAAAAGTACTCCCTACATCCGAAACACGTCAGTAACACTGCACACGACGGTTCCATGGGCTTACCGAATACTCTTGAATCGTTCCCTTCTCTGCACACAGGGCAGGTCTCTTCGCCAAACTTGTGGGCTCGCAATGGTGCATAGCGGAGTCAAAACTCGAGGCTCTGTGCAGTGGTTATTACTGCCCGGTGCCGAGTCTGATAAAGTCAAAAGATGAGCAGGGCACGATTGTTATGGAAAACTCACCATCATTTCGCTCACCATTATCATTGACTATATAGAAATCTGAGCATTGTACGACTGTTATCACTAAATGTTTTCCTGCAAGGCGGGTGGACAGTGCTTTCAGTAGCAGCACAAAATGTTCATTGGTGGGAATCGAGAGGCCCTTGGATTGATGCAAGGCCAGCCATTTGTCCTCGCCATAATAAGCTACAGCAAGATCATCCCAATTCTCCGTATAATTCCTTGGCGTTAAATAGTTGGATACACGAGTGACCACAGGACAATAAGCTGAGTCCGTGGTGTTAATGCCAAGGACGGCCATATCCTCAAAGACATTGCCAACACGCATAAATGCGCCATTGGAATAGTCCCCATAATCACCCAGCTGGTTATATCAGGCTCGACACAAGCACGAGTATGCAGGTATGACCCACCGCAATCCGTTGACCAGAACACTCGTCAAAGCCAGCCCGCCACCTATCCAATTCCAAGAAATATGAAGGGAAATCTGTACGCATAAGCCCTGGCGTTTGAAAGCCACCATAATCATTCTATGATAACACAAATGGTTAGGTCTGCGTGCACGTGGCAGGAAAAGTACCAACAAATGTCGTTGCCCATCTGTGTGGTCCATCGCAGCAACCAGGACATTCGTCGACATCGACCATAATCTTGAAATTGTCCTTCTCCCACCTACCCCAGACTACCTTCGCGGCCCAGATTGATCGGGGAAGGTGGGCATGCTTGATGAAGTGGTCGTAGTAGCGGTCTTCGTCGTGTTCATGTTTGCGCATACTCAGAGCATGTTCTACACGCGCATCCCACATTCGAGCACATGCTCTCCTGCCAAAGCCAGTCCAGTCATCCTCTCGAGTTTCAGGATGTTCGTCAGAGACAACGTGCACCCATCCCTGGCCGAGGTAGTATCCAAGGCCAACTGCAAAGCATGATCTGGGATTGTCGTTGGCATAGACTATGACAATGAGTTCACCCGTGAGGGACGAGAGTGCGACAGTATCGCCTGTAAACTTGCGCGGGTAGGTGCCACGGCGGGTGAATCCATGGTATGAGGCATGCTTGTCGTCAAGCGTAAACTCGCGGCGTGTCTCGTTGGCATCTTGATGATGGGTAAGATAGAGGGTCTTGAACTCCGGATATGTCTTGAGATTGTGCGACTCAGAATGTGCAACTGGAGTCCTGTGAAACCTGGATCCAGAGAATACTAAATCAATGGTGGCTAGACCACCGATACCATGGTAGGTTTTACACGCCAATATAGCCCGGAAATGAGACGGAGGGTCGGGAAGGGGGATGACAGGCAAACACACTTGGATATCCGCATTACTGACAGAGAATGTTGTGTCAAGTCGCTGGCTGACCGTGTTGGCATGCCGCCTCAACTTCGAGATCGTCCTGTGGCCACGTGCGATATACCAGGGGCTGCCGAGTTGTTTCCATCCAATGTACTCCATTAGTCCATCGACATATTCGTCAGGTTCCGTGACCTTCTCGATGTTGCCACAATCCAAAAAGTCGCTTGGATCGTCAGCCAGGTCACTGCCTGTCCGCAGCTTCCATGTACTCCATGCGAATATGCTTTGATCGCTGGATTCCCGGATGATTTCCAGTTGTAGACGCCGAAATGCTTTTTTGCCCTCTCCATACAACATGGGCATGTGCACTCCGAACAACCCCATCAGCGAGTACGCCCGATCTTCCACGCGCTCCGTCTTCCGGGTAGCTGCCCACGACATGATTTGTGCGACACAGAGACGCTTCGCAGCCAGGCCATCTCTCAAAACTTCACATGGAATTCCGGTGATGTCCTTCAACATGGGTGCCAGGTGTCGTTTGTCGCCAATCGGCACCCAATCCTTGTTGAAGAACTTCACTTGACTTGGCGCGATGAGTTCCTGCAATGTCCAGCCCCGCAAGAACCATACTGGCCAACCGTTGGACTCGCCAAACTTGTCGCGGTCTCGCTTGGCAGGGAAGATCGACTCCTCAACGTCGTTGAGGTACGCATAACACACATGTGCGTGTTGGTACCACCGATGCATCGAATTGATGGCCTCTGATAGCTCTGAACTGCTACGCTTGTTAATGCAGCAGGTATCGATCCACAACCACTCATAGCCGTCCTTCATCGCTTGCTCACAGCTCTTGACGATCTTTTGGTAGCCGTCGCGCTGCCTGACATTGTCCCTCTTATGCTCCTCCATCTTCATCAGCCCAATCATCTCTTTGTAATTGACCTCCGAGTCGGCTCCCCAGCGGTGCGATAGTATCGCATAACGAGTACCTTTACCATCAGACACCTTGAGGACTTCACGTTCGGGATCAGCCTGCTCGATGTGCGTTTCGCGGTCGAGAACAGCATTCACATCTAGTAACTTCATCTTCCTCACAAGGTCAATGCAAATTCAGCCCATCAACTAGTTATCACACGTACTCTCTGGATGTTCGAGCGTACAGGGTATTCTTTCACGTGGTCAGCTTCGAGCGTAGGAAGAAAGGCTAGCGGAAGACCGACGCTGGTTAGTGGTCACAGTCTTACAAGGAAGTACAGCATTGGGCGTGAGCGTCAAATTTGAGGCTATGCGATGGCAACATCCTAAACTCGGGCGGGCGCTCAACGTCGATATTTATACGGCTCATCGAGAACACGAGGCGAAGAGATAGACAGGGTCTCCGCTTTACCCATTCCCTCCAGTGTCAATGGCGTCTCCGCTGACCCAGCTATGTGCCATTCCACCAGGATGAGCGGAGGAGTTACGCAAACAATTATCGTGCGCACGCCTGACATTTCGTGGTATTCTACTGATCATTTGACTGATGCTGTACAAGTTGCACATATAAAGGCAGGGCGGCACCCCAACTGAATGTAGCAAGCTCATGTTGGTGCACTTTCCCATCTATGCACGTCGAATCGAAAATTGGGGTGTCGACATGATCGTAGGGTTTGCAGTACAGCAGTGGCCCCGTTTGAGGATATATGTATCTGTTGCTGACGCATTAATCCGCTACGTGCGTGACGGGCTGTCAATGAGGATATCAGGACGACATCTATGATTACTAGGCGAGCGTCCGGCCAGCAGTTGCATCATCTGCAATCATTCCAAATGTTAGAAGGATATGAGAATGAGATGGAGACAAGCAACCTCTATGACGATCCAACTCTCAATAAGGCCATTAAGACCCAGGGGGAAGCCGTACCATCCAGCGTTCATTTCCGATATGAGTACTCAGTGTCTCGTCTGCGTCTAGATCCCAACCAACTAGTCTTCAATGCCTATGTGCGCACCATTTGAATTCGACTTGCGTTCTGTTCCACTTAACAGGTCCTGAATGGATACGTGCTAGAACGTACTTGCAAGCCTTGGGGGAAGAGAGCCAAATGTGAGCTTGACGTATTGGATGGCCTGCAGCACAATATTTAAAATGAAGTGCACAACAATCCCGAAACGAAGCCTCATCATTACCACCTCACATACTGATTCCATGGGTTTACCGGATACTTTTGAATTGTTGCCTTCTCTGTACACAAGGCATTTCTCTTTGCCAAACTGGTGGACTTATGACGATATATAGTGGAGTCAAAATCCCAGGTTCGGTGGAATGGTTATCACTGCCGAGAGTCGAGTCTGATGATGTCAAAAGGAGAGCAGGACACACATGTCGCGGAAAACTCACCGTCACCCGAGTCCCTTGCCTCCCCGCCATTATCAACTTCGTACAAACCTGAACATTGTATGACCGATGTCACTAAATATTTTCCTGCAGGACGGACAGCCAGGTCTTTCAGCAGTAGCTCGAAATGTTCATTCGTAGGAAGCCTAGGCCCCTTGGCTGACGCAGAGCTAGGTGTTTGCGCTCAGTACTAGTATGATACGCCACAGCAAGCTCAGTGCGATTCTCCGTGCGACGTATTAGCCATTCGGAGCCGGATATGCGTCGGACCACAGGACGATAAACGGATTCTGTGGGATCAATGTCGCCAAGGGTCCGCATATCCTCAAATATATTGCCAGTGCATTTGAAGTTGCCATCGGAATTGTCGCCATAATCACCCAGCTGGGTATATCAGTGTCCACGCAGGCATGAGTATGCATAACATGACTCACCGTAATCCGTAGATCGGAACACTTGGCAAACTGGGCCCACAAGCCATTCAGCCTCAACTCATATGGATAGCAATTGGTATCCATGAACCCCGGCGTATCGGGGCCACAGTGTTCGTTCTATATTAATACAAATGGTTGTTAGGTCTGCATGCGCGTGGGAGGAAAAGTACCAACACATGTCGTTGCCCATCGATGTGGCCCATCACAACAACCAGGACATTGCTCGACATCAACCATGATCCTGAAATTGTCCATCTCCCACCTACCCCAGACTACCCTCAGCCCAGATTGATCGGGGAAGGTGGACATGTTTAATGAAGTGGTCATTGCGACGGCGTTCATCATTGTGGTCTTGTTTGGGCATGCTCCGAGCATGTTCTGCACGTACACCCCACAATCGATAATATGCTCCATGAGCAAAATCTGACCACGGTATCCAGTCCTGAGTTGGGGAGCATCCATCATAGACAACGTGCACCCATCCTTGGCCGAGGTAGTATGCAAGGCCGACTGCAAAGCGAGACCTGGCGTTGTCATTGGCATACACTATAACGATGAGATCATCTGTAAGGGATCATCAGAGAGACAGGGAATGACGGAATCGCAGTCACGACCAGTCAGTGACAGGTTTAAACAGGTTTGAACCATTTTCTCGCTTCCTGATGATGAGAGTGTAACAGTGTCGCCTGTAAACTCGCGCGGGTAGGTACCGCAGCGAGTGAATCCATGGTACGAAGCATACTCGTCGTTGAGTGCAAACTCTCGGTGTACATGCTAGTTTCAGTGCACGTTTGAGCCGTTTCACCCACGTACTAACGACTGCAAAGTGGAGCTGGTGCCGGGAAGGCCCATGTATACGCAGTGTATGACTTCAGGTATCGGTAAACTCGACCCCACTGGACGTACTACCAACACATCCAGGTCAGACCCAGCGATGCCTGTCGCTCTACACTCCACTGTGTCTTGCTAACAATTTCTACTATATGCAATATTCGGCCAGCGGTCCGTCTTCAAGATCCCCGACTTCACTTCCTTTGAGCCACTCCCCATTTTCGTTGACGATGGTTCGGTAGTCCCTTTGCAGTTGCTAGAGCGTCAGTGGGCCGCAGCAACTAGTCTGGATACAGGAGTCATCCATCGACAGGTCCTTCCGGACGCGCGAGTGCAGCTGAAGTCGCCGATTTTGTCGACTGGTTGGCCTCTGAGTAGCTTATCGCGCATCCCGAAGGTCAGACTGTCCTGTTTGAAGGCGAGTAGTCTGGCCCAGTTTTTGTCTACTGCATCGTCAACTCCAGGGTTGTCGTTGTACGTATCCTCTGTCCACTCGTCTGCTTCGCTTCCAGAACGTTTCGCCTGTATCGTACACTCCAATTTCTCACTGCAACCGAGCGCGTTCACGACCCCCTTGTTTCCCTCTGATTCGCCGCTCTGGAAGTAGGCACCGTCAACGGAATCTTTGTGGAACAGATGCTCAAGGACATCCGATACCTTGCTAACGAAGACGGATCGTCGGGCATTGTCTCCAGAAACTTGTGCCACCATGGCTTGTGGGTTGCTACCAAGGCGTTGGAGATACAGTTCGAGGATGCATATGGGGTGTGCAGGTGCATACCGTTCTCGGAGGGCTTCGCACTCAATGTCGTCTGGTAAACTTCCGCGTCATCACGAGGTTCATGGTGTAATGTTCTGATGCTGAACTGCAGCCGATCTGATGCTAAGACGGAAAGTTCTGATACCGTACTTATCTCCGCGTACTACGATTCCCGTGGCTCTTCTAGTATAGAACGCGTGAGTTGCGATCTTTACAGGTGTTGTTAGTTCCCTCAAACATACTCCATTTCCCAGGTACCTGTCAGAAACGATCTCGATTCTCAACATCGCATGATGGATAAAAATAACCTCGAGGAGCAACGTTGAACAAGTTGCCTTTGCTGGTGAAGCACAAGGCTTATTGGGATCAAAGGCATACACCAGTATGTTACCTTTTCTCCAAGTCACGGATTCATCGATGATTTACGGTCCTGGTGATGCTTGGTAGGGGGGAACTGCGTGAGAAAGGCGTGAATATCACTCTCATGATCCAGCCAGGTATGCTTGTGTGCCATGCTCGCGATGAACGTCCTCGACTGGGTTTCCGCACTCGCTGACGTCACTACACGCGCGATACAATATTCAATCAAGCTTCTCCAAACGCTCTACATTGATGCCTTCAGGGAAATCGAAATCGGCAGCATGGAGTAACGTAACGAACTTGAGGGGTCGTACTTAATTGACCTGTTGGTATACGTCAGGCACTGCCTCTAGACATTCGTTCCACCATTGTTCGAGGGTCGCTCCAGAGTGGTTGAAGACACAGTTCGAGGGTGCCGGTGAAGCATGCAGGTTCATGCTGTTTGTGGAGGGTTCCGCACTCAATGTCGTTTGGGAAATCTCCAGACACTATGATTCCTGTGGCTCCTTCGGTATGAAACGCGTGAGTGGGAACTTGCGTTGTTGGTTCCCTCAAACATGCTCCACTTCCTAGGCACCGGGCGGAAACGACGACGGTTCAGGAACAATCTCGATTCTCAACAGCACTGCACGACGGTTAAAGTGAAGCGGTATAACCTTTGGGGGTGACGTTGAACTAGTTGCCTTTTCCTGGGAAGCACGAGGGTTATTGGGATCGAATGCATATACCAGTACGTTGCTATTTTCTCCAAATCACTGATTCGTCGATGATTCGTAAGGGGGAAACTACGTGTGAGAAGTGCGAATATCATTCTCACGATCCAGGCAGAATGCTTGTGTACCATGCTCCCTACGAACTTCCTCAACTGGGCTTCCCACAATCGTAAGTTTGTCGCCAACATTTACCCACAGTTGGGTTGACCACTCTTTGCGGAGCGATCATTAGGTGGGATAGCGTGTCCTTCCCAACCCTTCTGTGTGAATTATGGACACTCGTATTCCCCTGATGAAAGTCTTTGCATGAACAAGGATTGCGAATTCCTGAAACTCAACTCTCCGAACGTACAGGACCAAGTAAGATGTTAAACACCCAGTAGTACACCGTCTGGGCCGACTAACTCTACTACTTTCAGTTGCTCACCCCGTGTACCACAACACCCATGACCTACTCCCGGAGACCTACGAGACGCGTCGTGCTCAGCAACCAACCTGGGATACGACTTGGGACCAGCTTCGCCTCTTTCTGTCTCGCGCTGTCACCGACAGGTCGATTGAGTGTGACTGCTCTTCAAGTTCGCTGCTGTTACTCCAGTACTGTCGGTTTTGAATCTCCCTGAATGATGTCATTTCGGGTATCTGGAGGGGCTTGATTGAACATTTGCATCGGACAGCGCTCGTGGAACGGAGTGGTTATACGTGTGTTTTTGTATATTACACTTACCTGACAGAACATGTTCACCCGCATGATTCGCAACCAAGACACGAAGGACCAGAACATACATCTTCATCGTGTCTAGGTATTACTAAAGCGATGGAATCGAACATGCCCCGACTTGCTTACACCGCCTCCAAACGACGACGCGGATCACTGTTATCCCCTCTGTACACTAGTGGTGGCCAGCTTCAGCTGCCCGATATAAATCTCCTCGCCTCCGGCACTGTTAGGCCATTACATGTGTGGCACCCATATCGAATGCCAGTAGAATAAATGCTGACACGATGTCCACATAGGATGTTATGTTCGCCTTGACGACCTACTTTGGGTGATGAGACTGTGAAAGCGCTCCACTAGAGCTCGATTCTCTGTTCCTTCGGCAGCAGCTCATTCACTCCCTGACTGACGGACGGTAGCGCGACGCAATCTGTTGGAGATGCACTGTCATGCTCATCGACTTGTACCGACACTAGTGATTGTCGGAAAATCTGTAAAATTATCTCAATGGGTTGCAAGCGATTGCAATGGCTGCAGTTTAAACTTGTAATTGAAATGTTGTTGTGATATTATAGTTTTCTATGTACGTTTATTCCGGAAAATTCGCAGGTGGCAGTGCGTGTGAACTGCAAATTTTGAGTCGGCCACTCAGCCACAGCGGCTCGCCCTCGGCGGCGGGGACGGCCGTTCAGAGTGACTGACCGCTCGTGACGGCACCGGCATCGTCGATCGTGCAGGATGGCGTCGGGACGCGGAAGCAAAACGTTCAATGGTGGTTAGCGGTTAGCGGAAAATGGACTTACGTTCCGAACAGGATCCGAGCGGAGGGTCGCGCAACCTCGACGTCGACGTCGCTTAGACCCCCCAGCCTTGGCAGACCACGGTCGTGCATCAGCGAACCGAAATTCCGCAAAACGTCGTATACGAGTGCTTACGGATTCCCGTTTGGGAGTAGTCCAGGGCGTGATACATTGGCAGCGGGTTTCAACTTATTTGGAGATTATCTTCAGCTTAGCTAGACTAGATGTAAAGAAGTGATCTTATCAACTGATGTCGGCTATGAAATCATTGTACATCAATCAATATGTAACCTCTCTTGATGATTGCTCTCTGCATCTCAGACAATCTTGCACTCTCAACAGCACTTGCCTGCAGCTTAGAAATGCTAGCCATAAGATCACAGTATGCATCACACTAGATATCTGTGTGAATGGCACTTTCTACATACACACCATTCTGATGATCCTTGAGGGCAGCATAGATGGCAGTTCCTGCCAAAGTGCAAAGGGGATCCATTGAGTCCTTGTTGATGGCCTTGTATAGCTGTCCTGGGCTCAGGAAGAGGATGTCAATGATGATATCCATGAATAACTTGTGCTCGAATAGGCCTTCATTTGTTGCAGTATAGGGATCCTCTGTTGGTTGCTAGAGTACTGGAGTCATTTGATGACATAAGAATTATAGGAACATGCACATACCATTGGTTGATAATGCCAGGGTTTAAGGAAAGTGAGATCAGTGAGGAGCTGTTGGACTTGAACATTCTTGTGGTCAACTCTGGAATGGACACTCCCTAATGGAAGACGAAGGCCATAGTCATGTTGGACATGACAGAATGTGTATTGTTTGAATGACCAGCAGATTGCTGTCATTGCACCAATTACATCATTATCTATATGTAGTGGTTCATGATGAACTTGGTAAAGTCAGGAAGATATCAGCCAGGGAAACATACTACAGGTGATGACATACCTCCTCCAATGACAGTGCATGTGGCTTTTTGGATGGCTGCTTTCACACATTTGGTGCACATGTTCTTTGTTGGCACAGCATCCACAGCAAACATGTATTTTTGTACATCTTTTTTTGCTTGGTCCACAATCTGCCCTCACTCTTGTTTGGTTACTGTCACAGAAACAAGTGCAGCATTGGCCATGTAGCCATCAGATGGTGCAGTTGCATTGGCAACTGCACCCACTGATGCAGGAGGAGGTGGAGTCAGAGGCATTGTGACATGGTGTTGGCACCAAGGCCAACTGATCTCCTGATCACCTTGAGTCTAAGAGCTATTAGAAATTAGTTGAATATGAGTACAGTGTACTTACATGGATAATGTTGGTGAGTGAGTTTGAATATCTATTTGTGGATTGCACACCTGGTCAACTTGGTGTGGTTGCCAGCATGTACCTTTGGGCAGAGCTGAGTAAGGAGGTGGGTGGGTGAGTGTCTTGATAGGTGTGGTAACTGCCTGAAGATGGGCCACCAGGTGGTGAATGGGCAGAGTGGTGGGTGTGGTAACTGCCCACAGACAGGCCACCAGGTGGTGCATGGGCAGAGAGCCTGTCTACCCAGGTGCCAGATGACAGTTGATGGGGTTCAGTCATTGATGGAGTCTGGTAATTGAAGGGATAGGGGTTCGTCATTAGGTACCCTGGTCCCTGATGCAGAAATGATGGATCCACAGCCTGCTTGCCCTTGAGGTTTAGTTGGCTTGACATGTCATTGCCACTGGGATTCAAGTTTGACCCCATTGTCACACACCAAAGGTGTTTGGTGAGGTGGACATGGATACAGCTGATGAATGGAGATGAAGACCATAGCCCTCATGTGAAGAAGGACAGCCAGGAATGTTGGCAGTCATCCCTTGCACAAGAACAAGTCATCAGTGCCAGAGAAAAAGAAAGGGAGTGAGTTAAGTGCTGGCTAAAATTCTTAAGTGCCTGTGTATGGCATTCCAGTTTTTGACATATCTCTGCTGTTTCTGCAGATACAGAGGCCATTCTCACACTTGCTTGTAGTGCTCAGCCATGCAATCTTACCTTCCAAAATTGGAAAGGATTTGCACACTCCACACATTTCTACAGCACTCCCTCCAAAAGATGCTCATTTCGCTAACTTCTTCTGAGATGGCTGCCTCTACATCAATCATTTCACTTGTCCCCTTTGCTAGGGACCATGGCTACATATATCTACCAGGAGTTCCTACCAGCTTCCATCCTGAAGCATCCTGGTACATCCCACCCTCATCTGTGCCCTCTCAGCCCATCCAGCTTGGACAGCACATTCTTTTTGTCAGTATGACCTCTAGGAGGATGTTCTTTGGTTGCCTCAGGTCTGTCATTTGCTTGGAAAGGTCTTATGTGGTTGTTTCAGTCTCTCCAGTCCAAGAAGCATATGGATCCTTCCTCCCTGCTCCCTGCAATGTCTTCATACCAGTCTTGTCCATCATTCTTCCAAGATTGTGACAGCTACAGTATAATCTACTGTTCCCCACTCTCCCTGATCACATCCATGATGAGTATGATGCACATCTTGCCTCCTTGTTGCAAGATACAGCAGAAGACACTCCCCATTCATCCTCTCTTCCAACAGAGCCTTGTTCATGAAGTTTTTATTTGCTTCACTGAGAGGATGGTTTGGGGGGGAAGGTTGTGATCCCCTATGCTCCTGTCACCCCACAGACCCCCAAAGCTTGACCCCTGTTGACATCTGACTCACCCTGTCCACTTTCGGATGTACTATATTGGCATCAGATCAGTGCTGCCTCTCTGTCATCCCACCTTGGTCTAGAAGCGATCTCTTTGAGATGTGACATGCACAGCCTCCCCCTAATGTGATTCCAGTGTGCTTCCCCAGTTCCTGACATCACTTGACTCATACTTTGACGTTCTGACTGTCTTTGACTCACCTATTGCCAATACTTACCAATCTTTTGACTTTGCTTACTGATTCTTTGCTTTTTGGCTTGCTAATCCTTACCAATGCTTACCAGTGCTTTCCAAGATGATTACCCATCGCTTACATTCCTTACTCATCAGTTACCAATCACTTACCAAGTGTTTGCACCTTGTTTTCCAAGGGCAACACCCCTGTACTGTATATAAATCACTGTACTTAGATAGCAAAAAAAAAAAAAGAAGACATCAGAGAGCCCCTCTTGCTTGCATTTTATCATCACTCAGTAATTCATTCAGCAGCTTTGATAGTTGAGACTTTATTAAGGGTCTAACTATTGTCTACTTCACTTATCCTTGTCTATCATCAATATACTTCACTCCAAGCCCTCCCTGAGCTCGGTGCAGCTTAGGACATTGAATTAAGCTGCCATCCATCCTTCTGTAGGCTGACAGCAGTCTACCCTATCACTTTCCATCACATTCTTGCTCCCTCTTTGTCAGGAGCACCCCCAACCCTCAGCACTCGTCCTTGAGTGTTGTAGCTTGCAAAAAAACCACCCAAATCAAAGGTTCTACCATCTAGGTACTGCATAGGCACACCACCACTTGCTCTTTTTGTCTTTTGTGTTGGTTTTGGTTGGTTTCACCACTGAACCACACTTTGACTCACACCGTGGGCAGCCTAGGGAAAGCCTTTCTTAAATGTTAGGATCATCACAGTGGTAGATAGATAAAACATACCCTGTTACTGTTTGGCCTATGTCTTGACATGGCAGTCAGAGGAGCAGAGTAGTGGATGGCAGATGCTGCAAGCTACTTATCCATTGCAATCCATCTTAATCAGGCATGACCAAACAGGAATAAGGTGATGGATTTCAGTGAGTAAAGCACCAATGAATACAGATAGTGTGGTAACAAAACAAAAAAGAAGCGTAAACTTATCTGCCTATCAGTATGTCAGATGAGTAAATTTGCAATGCTGACTGAAACAGTTTGAACTCACAATACTTGGTACAAATTCTTCACAAGGATGTAACTATGCAACCTATGAATATATTGAGTCAGTCATGAGTCAGAAGATTAAGTGGAGACATGCTGTTATTCAGCCTCATCATTGTCAGAGGATAGTAACCCTGTGAACAGCATCCCACAAGTATCATCGTCATGGTCAGGGTTGTCCTTGACATGCTTGTCAGGGGATGGCAACCTCTCATCCATGAAAGATTCCAACTGTTCCATCTGAGTTGCTGCGATTGTGAATGTGACAAGTTCATCAGCATATACAGCATGGTAAAATGCCATGTCATCTTTGGCATCCTGCAGGTCATGTTGGTTGAAAATATCCATCAACATTGCCAACTGCATTTCAGCAGTTGCCCAAGTTTCCAAAGCTGCTGTGTGAACTTCAGTCAATAAATCCCTCTGCTGCTCAATAAACTCTATCTCTGCCAAGGTCTGAGAGACCTGCTGTGATATACAATCCCAGAATGCATGCTTTGCAAGTATGGCTTTGACAAGAACATTGTCAGGCAATTGTGACAAACCATGATGTAGAAAGTCATGTCCCTTGGTTTCATTCATTAGTAGTGCCCCACACATATGACAATAACTTACCTTGTGTACATCTTCCAGTGACAAATCAGTGGTTCTTGCAGCAAAGCGAAGCTCCAGGGGGGGTGGGGCTGCTTGCTTTCTGTATGGGTGGTACTTGGTATGCATGTGGCTTTGTGCCTCTAGGATGCGCCTCTGGAGAGAGGCACTTGAGCCATGAGGAGACATGGAAGAGCATGAAGTTGGTGATACAATGCTCCTTCCAGGCAGTGCATTCAACAGCTCTTCTTGTCTCTCTTTATCAAAGTGGCTCAGGCTTGGACATTTCTGCAGTGGTGAAAAAAGGATATCATTATGAACAAGCAGTGGTGAGAAATCAGTTTTTGGACTAGGCTTGGATGAGGAGTGTGGAGACAATGACAGTTGGGGGACTGAGGGTACAGTGCCAGCAGACATAGCAGTCATAATTGTACTCTCACCAGATATGTTATCATTGCCATGTAGCAGAGTTTCTGTTGGAAATTGAAGGACTTAGAGAATTTCAGAGTAACAAGCAACACTAACCTCTTGTCTGTAGTATCATGGTATCTATGAGTGATGATGGTAACAGCATCACCTTTGATTGTCCTGGATGTCAGGCAATATTTCCTTCACCCACTGCATTACTAAATCACCTCAACTGAAGGGGGGGCCTGTACTGATGCAATCCCAGTGCAGCACATTCCTGTACCACCAGCCTTCCAGCATGGATTCGAGGAGAATGACATTATGGGTCACTATTATCCAACCTCTGGATATATCTACAATAGAGGTGACACTTTCCTTGACTGGATGAAGGCTAGTGAACATGAAAGACAACATCAAAATCAACTGTACTATCCCTTTGTGGATGAGGGTGAATGGGAACTGGCAAAGTTTCTGGTGTTGAACTTCACTCAATCACAGATTATGCTTGGTGACTGCCTTGTCACTTCTCATTTTTTTTTTTTTCAGGTGCAGCTTCCTCAGGGTGCAACCATCATTCCCATCATTATTGCCTCTGACAAAACACCAGTGACAAGGCACACTGGAGGGCTGGAAATGCACCTGGTCTTTATTATGATTGGCAACATCCAGTCTGATGTGAGGATGCAGGCATCATCTCATGCATGGCACTGCATTGCTTTCATGCCAGTTCCTGTCTTTGAGGTTCACCCAGATTTCCAAACAATTCTTACTTCACACCTTTTTCACCAGTGTATGGACATTGTTTTTGCCTCTCTCAAGACAGTCACATCAGATGGTATCAATCTCACAGACCCAACCAGCTTTACTCAAAACTGTTTTACCCCTCTAGTCGCATATATTGCAGATCTTCCCAAGCAACAGCTAGTTGCTTGTGTTTCCAAAAATGCTTCCCCTATCACCACCACAGTACTCTCCAACTTTGGTGACAGTGTACCCCAAAATCCACAAACTGGCTTGTACATGCTGCAGCAGATTGTCAATTTGTGCACACATACCCAGGTGTGGAACATCCCCTCTTTCCAGAAGGCTGCCAAAGCAGAGAAGTTACTGGGTGTACACCACCTTTTCTGGAGGGACTGGAAGTTCACTGACCCTGCACACTTCTTGGTGAGGGAAATTCTCCACACTTGTCATAAGTTCTTTTTTGACCATGTTCTCAAATGGTCCAAGGAAGCTGCCAGCAATCACCTGCTTGATATGTGATACAAGATTCAACACAAGCATGTTGGCATCAGGCATTTTGCTTCTGGTATCTCACATGTGAAGCAGATGATGGGCAGAGACCATCATGATAATGAGAGGACCATCATCCCCATGTTAGATGGTGCCATTCTGCCTCTATTTGTCTATGCTATTTGCTCCATGGTGGAGTTCATTTACAGGGCACAACAACCTATCCACACCGACTCATCTATCACATCGATGACTGCCACCTTGCAGGCATTCCATGCCACTAAACACTCCATTCTCGATGCAGGGGCTTGAAGGGGAGCCAAGGGCTCCATGGACAACTTCAACATCATGAAACTGGAACTTATGCACACCTTTGCTCACCACATCAAGGAGAATGGCACTCTCATCCAATACACAGCAGATGTGACTGAGCAGCTCCTGATCACCCACTGCAAGACACCCTTTGAGTGGATGAACCAATGGAGCAACACATTCATTGATCAAGTTGTCAAGCTCCTCAATTGCAAGGAAACTATCCACTCCTTCAACCTTTACATCTTACTCTGCAGTTCAGATTTGGTGCTTGACACTGCAATTATGGTCAAAAATGAGGAAGTTACCAGTGTGGACCTGGCATTATCTTTTATCAATTGTGTTCTTCTGGAGAAAGAGACTATGTTCCAAAGACCTCAGCCTTTTTGAAATCACTTCAATGACCCCAAATGCTTTTTGTCATCAAGTGGAGCATTTGTGTTCCACATCACAGTCCTCCCTGACTGTGCAACACTGATGGTATCTGAAATGCAGGTGACATATGAACTCCCAGACCTCCCACAGGTAATATCTGACTACATCTCTGCTGCTTTGTGTGGGTGTCTGACTGAGCATTGGGATGCTCATGGCATGATTTCTCAATGGAATAAATTCTGCATTCAACTGCACTCATCATTCCAGACACAATACATATGCAGAAGCCAGGTTGTTCAGGCCTTTTCTCCCTCAGATTCTCACCCTCTTGGAAACTGCGATGCAGTGTTGTTGAAGCATGTGAATGATGATGTGAACTTTGGTATGCATACCCTACATTGTAACTCCAAGAAAACATTACTGACTCTTTTCCTAGATGTTGCTTAGGTGCAGGCAATATTCATGCTGAAGACAAAGAAGGAACTTCCTGTTTATCTTGGCCCTGCCCCTCTCATTTATGTCCATTATTTTCGCATTGTCTGGCTGCCTGAGCAAAATCCTGGCATCAGACTATACAGAGTTCAATGTATTCCCCCTTCTTCCACAGGTGCAAGTGGCATCGTCCCATTGACCAATGTTATTCATGCTGTGGAACTGCTACCTGTCTACAACACAGTACCTCTGGGAGTGGATGCATGCAGTGAGACTTGTATGGAGGCATACGACCAATATTATTTAAACACATTTGCAGATAAAGAGACATACCACATTCTGGCTGAGTAGTCATTTGTAGATCACAATAGTAGAAGGGCTGCCACTGCCCCAACTTGATTGTCCCTTGTAGCCGAGTGATTCTTGTATCTTATCCCCATAATCATGATATCTACATCTTATCTCTGTAATTATTACCCTTCAGAGATATCAAGTGGAACTACATTGATCTCCACCAATCACAAGTCATGATCTCACACCATGTAACCACCTGTAAGGCTGTCAAGTTAAGCATTCATTTCAGTGGTTTTACAGATGTGGTTCATAGCATAGTATAATATTAGTATGGTATGTGTACTGCCTGCTGTACTTATCAAATATGATGACCCAGCAGCTTGAGGTGCTCGAATTCCTGTGTGGAGATTGTGATCACTCAGTGCTACTTGGTGTCCAGCATGTTCAATGTTCATTTAGTCATCATTCCTGCCTGGTGTTGGACTGCAGGGTTGCACAGGTGTTGTTGATTGACTTGGCACCAGTGATGTCATGTCTACAGTGTTGATTCCACTGCTCAGCACTCAGACCTCTGTTTATGACATTTTCATGAGAGCATTGCAGCAGACCCTACAACTCTAAGTCTGTTTTTATGGTGACCATCAACTTGCTACAGTACAGATGGGGCCATCTGGCTGGAAGAAATAGCAGGAAAGTAGACTGCTACTTCATGCACAGTGTATATACAATATGTGTTCATCAGTTCTGCATGCACCTGCATGGCAGTGAGAATTGCCTAAACATGTACTTACAAAACACCTCACCCAGGACCCTGCCACCATAATACTGTAATTCCTGGTGGGCCATCGTGAGTACATGGGATCTGGGCCTTCACGAGCTTCAATGCATCCTGACAACTGGTTTGCTAATTTCACTGGTTCAAAAGTGCATACTCATTTCCCATTGCAAAGTCACTTTACAGGACTTTACAATTGCTTTCCAGCACTTTGCAGCTCGAACTGGTCTGCAGCCTTGAGGCCTATTGGGTCCAGGGCACTGACATAATTGCTTAGGGCAGGTTAGTGGGGTGCATGGCAGCAGGAGCCCTTACCTGCCTTTGCCCTCCATCTTCAACACTCGATGCTCTTTGATCACTGCCATTGGTGAGTACTTGTCAGTGAGCCTATCCCAACATTTCACCCAGTTGACAGATTGCTATCACTTGAAGGTTGATTCAGTTCCATCAGATGGGTCTGGTGAGCAGCCTGTTGGCTGTTCCCTTCGCTGGGCAGTTTGGCACTGGATGTCATGTCTATGCAGCCATTCTTGAGCTGATCATTGGTCCCCTCATCAGTAAACCACTTTGTGAGCTGGTAGTCCTAGGGAATCTGTCCAGTGCTGGACAGCTCTGGGCAGCTCTGGCCAGCAAAAATGATTTACTGATGCTTCAAGACTTTCAAGACTGGGAGGTTTGACTTGGCCTGAAGACTGTCCTTGCACTTACTGATCAGTTGTTGAGCTGCATCATCAACTCCTTCCCTTCCTCTTCTACTCATAAGTTTTGAAACATAGATCTCATGCATCAAGTATATCTATTCTCACGATGCCATCCACCATGATGCTAAAGTGGCAAGTAGACTATGCTGACCTATTTGTCAGCTGGGCACTGCCCTATGTCAACTGGCTTTCTACATCATCACACTCCTCAACCTCCCAATGAGTCTTCTGCCATGTTCCAAAACCATGCAGGTGCTTGAACTGTGGCCAGTGAGTAATTTTTTCTCTGTTGTTCATTTGCATGGCCGCATTAACTGTAATTAGCTTCTTGCTCCTGCAGGGAGACAATGTACACTTGGCAAGCTTGCTACTGAGAACTTTGGCACATGTGGTGGTGGAGCAGGCACTCAGTTGCTCACTGTGGGCTTTAATGCCAGGTTAGTTTCCTGTTTTGTATGGTCCATTTCATCCCTCATGAGCCCCACTAGTGTGTGGATGTATTCATTGCTTAACGTGTTTTTGTGGTGCCAAGCTGGCACAGGACAGTCACATGAAATACAAATGATTTTCCATCGCCTTTCTTCCATCTCTCAGATGCCCCTCCACCCATACTTCATTTTTGATGGGCCAGACTGCCCTCAGCTCAAGAGGGGAAAAGACATTGTGTGCCCATGCTATCCACCCCTCCTTGTGCAGCGCTTTCAAGAGCTGTTGATGGCATTTGGTTTCAGCTGGCACATGGTGAGTCATTGACTATACATGCTGCCAGGTGCTAACAAAGCTCACAAGGCTCCAGGGGAGGCAGAGGTGGAACTTGCCTGCCTCCAGTCATGCACCCTCATCAACATCATGGTGATGCCATACAACAATGTGCTGCTGTTTGGTGTGACTTGCATCATTCGCAGGTAGGTCAGTTCAAACATGGACATGCAACTCTATTCATCTGACACCTTACAAAATTGCACCAGCCTCAAGTGGGGCAACTTCCTCCTTGTTATGCTGATGAGTAGTGTAGATAGTGAGGTAAGTGCCATATTCAGCCCCCTGAATTGGGTAGCATCCTCATTCAATTCATTAGACAGGTTGCCAGTGGTGCAGCACAGATGTTGCCCATTGATTGGTAAATTATGGCCTTGGAAAGACCCTCTTCCAAGCCACTATCATGTTTCAGTTCAAGGAGTTTATGGAGTTTGTTGCCAGGTGGTGTGACAACATCTGTGAGGTACTACAAATGGATCCTCAACACCTCCTCAGACATAGGCACCATGAGCTTGCCCATATCATTGTGGAGGAACACATTGAGTTCCCTGACCCTGTGATCTTAGTGATGTATCTGTTACCTCTTACCTCATGGTCAGAGGGTCACCATCCCCCCATTGCCATTGTGAGGTCTTGTCAGCCTGATCTTGCATTTCTGGCAGAGTTCTGTTTGCAGCGCCTTGGCTGGTTGCCAGATACCATCCAGTCCAGATTGATGGGTGCTTGTGCCGGTGCAGCCATGTGCACACTTCTGCAGGTGAGTCTTACAATTGTGCCAAATATGCCCACCCCACCTCATCATCCACTATCCACAGCTGCCAGGGAATGTTGATAGTGAGTGGCTGCAACATGACCTTCAGGTCCTGAGCCATTCTGACAAATCATACAAGCTCTCTGTGCTGAGTTTGCCACTTGAAACACCAGTGGATGCAGATCCATCACCTGCATACGAGATAGAGATGCCAGCAGTCATGTTAGAATACTCAAGACCTGATTTGGTGGAGTCAATGGTTAACCTTCCTCATGAAACTGGAGTTATTGACCTGGTAGGTGGTGTGGATGCACTGCATCTCAAAGCTGGAGTCATTGGTCTCATGGATGAGGACTAATCATTTGCCTAGCACACATTTCTATAGTGTTGTATCAGTTTGTGAGTGGCACAATCACCATGTCTGTGCAAGTCTACCTCACTTACTTCCCTGCCTGTTGTGCTTTGCTCCATGCTACTGCCAGTCTGCCTGCCCAAGTGAATGTGACATATCAGATTCTGTCCTCCAGATCTGACTTGCTGATTGCCTGCCTTCACATTGCTCCTGCCACCTTGGTTTGTGTTGTTGCCCAGATCATTATGAACTCAGTTGCACTCACTGCAATCTCCTAGGTAATTCTGTAGGTTTCGACTTGTTATACATACTGACTTTTACCCAAAGAGAGGTGTATTCATTGGCTTCACACATCTGAAAGGAAAAAAGAAAAAGAAAATGCAGTTCATTCCCAAGGCTGGGTACTACAAATTTTGGGAGGGATCTGATGGACCAGAGATTAGTGTTCAGGTGGGCATTGTTTTCAGCAGGTGCACCATTTCTAATGATAATGTCAGTTTATTGCCCTGTCATCCTCCAACTCTTGCATTTGCTGGAAACCCTGGAAACCCTTGAATGCAAGTAATCTGTCTTCTCAGTTTGTGCATGTCCTGCTGTCTCCCCACTCTGGTATCCTCCATCTCATTTATTTCACCCTTCCTGCACACTATATCCAGAGACCACCCATGACATGCCTACCTCATTCCCTATGACTGCCAATTCTGCAATGCTCACAGTTCGAAATATGCACTAGGTTCAGTCAGTGAGATAAAATTTTGAAGGTATGGTTGAGCGTCAACTTAACCTTGCTTGTGAACAGTCACTGCAGGATCCAAAGGTTAATATCAATGTTTCACCAATGTCCATCTGTGTAGGGCAGCAGAGTGTAGGAGGAAAGCATATACCATTTGGCAGGAACCCTTCTTCCATGCCATGGCTGGTCAAGAAGGTCTTATTGAGCTCACTGTCAAAATGGTGGAGACAGGCAATGTCTGCTATGATGGTACAGTGTGCAATTCATTGGGTGACCTCATCCAGCTTATGTACAGAGAAGATGGGATGCATGATGCATTTATCGTGCACCAGAGGATTGACACATTTGGGCTCAGTGACAGGGAGTTGGAGCAAAGATTCTGCATTCATCGAATCCTTCTTCACCATCCCAGATGATGAGGGGAGCATCAAGATGAAGATGGAGCAGGTTTTGGGACTGACTGGTGTCAATTTAAAGGCAGTGATCCGTGTTCCAGGTGTCGACTTGACTTACCTTGGTCACTATGAACCCAGTCATGCTTGCTGAGATCTCCTAGGTAACTGTCCTTACCTTCGTTTGCCTTCTGTACCTGACCAACTTTCTGTGCCTCATATGGATTGACCTGCTATACACACTTTTGCCCAAAGGGGCACCCCATCATCTCCCTACTCTCTGGTTCACTGGAAAGGATGACTTCAGCCCAGAGGTGAGGGGATTTGTGGAGAACTCATACATATGCAGTCTGACCCCCACAGGGGGGTACTTTTTCCATGCCACAGCTGGTCAAGAAGGTCTTGTCAATACTGCTGTCAAGACAGTGGAGGCAAACTATACCCAATGACATCTCATCACATCATATCCTGCTCCCCAGCTTTCTCTGCACCCCCCCACCTGTGCCTGTCAGTGTCAAATATCTGTCAGCCAAAATTGTATCCACATTGTCTTTGCCAGGGTACTCGATGGAGCACACATGGACCTCTGTCAGCCAAAATTGTATCCACATCATCTTCACCAGAGTACTCCTTGATGAAGCATGTATGCACCTCTCAGCAAAAATTGTGTCCACATTGTCTTTGTCAGGGTACTTCTTGATGGAGCACATCAGGAAATTAACACTTTACTATTTTTGACCTTTTTGTGACTTTTTTTGACTTTTTTGTGACTATTGTGACTATTTGTGACTTTTTGGGAAGGAACCTACTATCTGTACTTTTTTTTTTGACCATATACAGAATTTTGAAGAATGAAAAGAGAACAGAATGTATTGAGACAACTAAGTGATGATATATCTAAGCCAAGAAGACTAGAAAATGTCTGAAAATTCAGAGATATTGAGCCATTGGTGTGATGCACACTGTCTGAGAGAAAAATCACAATATCTCTTTGGAACCTCCATCAATTTGAATGTATGTGGTATCTACTGAAAGCTATGAATTAGGTGGTTTGAACAAGATCAAAATAAGCAAGAACAGTGCAGCCATGCCTGCAGGACATGGGTAATGATAGTAGATTCCTTCCCAAAAAGTCACATTAGTCACAAAAAGTCAAAATAGTAAAGTGTTATTTTCCTGATGCACATACACACCCCCCCTATTGTTGAAGATGGAGATGTTTGCATTCGTGTCACCTGCTGTTTGGTAAACACCTTTTGGTTCTTCGCATTCATTTTGTGTTGATCTCATGGACAATGACAGTGGCTTGTTCACATCTTCCACATTGACTGCTGCAAGCCTAGTGACCTTGAACCAGCCTACACTGTTGATGCAGTCCACCAGCTTCATGGAGAGGTTAGCAGGGAAGTGCAGGCAAATGCTTTGCTGACCTTCCGCATGCATGCATGAGCCACATGTGCTACCTGCCATGTATTGGAAGAGTTCCACCTCAACTGCGAAGTGTTTGAGTGGGTGTTGGATGAGATTGAGGTGAAGTTCAACCATACTCTGGTTAACCCTGGAGGGATGTGCAGTACTGTTGCTGCCCAGTCCATTGGTGAACCAGCTACTCAAATGACTCTCAACACCTTCCACTACACCAGTGTGTCCAGCAAAAATGTTACACTCAGTGTCCCCCATCTGAAAGAAATCATCAACGTTGCTACCAATATCAGAACACTTTCACCTTCTGTGTACTTGGAATCCTACATGGCCCAGGACAAGAAGACTCCATGTTCATCAAATCTTTATTTGCTATCATTGAACCAGTTACTCAAAGTGACTCTTAATGCCTTCCACCATGCTGGTGTATACAATAGAAATGCTAAGCTTGGTATCCCCCATCTGAAAGAAATCATCAATGTTGCTACTTGGTATGACCCCAACCCTACATCCACCATTATCAAAGACTCCATGTTTGTCAAAGCTTTCTTCACTATTGTTGAACCAGTCACTCAAATGACTCTTATACAACAGAAATGCTATGCTCAGTATCCCCTGTCTGAAAGAAATCATCAACATCGCTACAAATATCAAAATGCTTTCACTTTCTGTGGATTTGGTATGACCATGACCCTACATCCACCATTATCAAAGAAGACTCCATGTTCATCAAATCTTTCTTCACCATTCCAGACGAGGAAATTGAATCAAAGCTCCACCTCCAGTCACCATGGCACCTTTGGCTGGCACTTGACCATGCCAGAAAGATTGATTGGAGTCTTGCTGTGGTTGCTGGCTGGATTGCTGGGAGCTTCAAGATGGACCTCTTCATCATCTGGAGTGAAGATAACTTGGAGAAACAGGCAGGGTACAGTCAAAGAAGACATCTTCCTCTGCCAATTCAAGAACACAACATTGAACTTGGTCAGCCTGCACAGTGTCCCTACCTCATATTTTTGTTGGAGTATGATGAGGGGAGCATCAAGATGAGAGGAGCAGGTTTTGGAGACTGACAGTGTCAACTTGAAAGTGGTGATCTGCCTTCCAGACATCAACTTTACTCACATGTACTCAAATGGCCAGTGCATTGAAGCTTCCAATGCACTTGGGATTGCAGTTGCACATGCAGCGATCATGAAGAAAGTGCAAGGAGTCATTGAATTTGGTGGTTTGTACATGAACTACTGCCACTTTTCATTGTTCTGCAACCTCATGACCCATTGGAGAACACCCATGGCAATTGCTCCTCATGGTATTGACCATGCTGACACCAGCACCCTGGTGTCACTCATTGGAGGAGAAACAGTGGGGATTTCGATGGAAGCCGCTGGGTGTCACTGACTTGATGGGGTGAGGGGTATTCATAACTATGCATATGATGTATTACTAGCATTATATTAATTACTGTTCCAGTTTTGTTGTCGCACTCCTGTGCACATTGGTTGTTGAGGGCTTTGCACTGAATATGATGTCACTGAATTGATTCTGAAAGAAATAGTAGCTAGTTGACAGTGCAGCTACACTATGAACTGACTTTGTTTGCAACTCCCACACACCAGCTGGTTGGGTTCAGGCTGCTTGTGGAGGGAACAAACATCCTGTACATGCCATGGTCAGACAGAAGGCATCGATGACAAAGAGTGTTGCCTTACCTAGCTCCCCTGACAAGAGAAAGAGGAGGGTGAAGGCATCTTCTCCATAAGAACAGCCCGGCCTACACACTGTTCATCAGATCAAAGAGGCCAGCAAACAAACTCACCTTCGAGCGGCCAAGACAAGGGCAACATACACCAGGCATGTCCACCAGGCACAGATGTGGCTACAGAGCCACTTTCCAGTGGAGGGGATGCAGCTGTCTCCAAGTCTGAGTCATGTTGGCAGTGGGGACCTGAGCTCGGAAGTGTATGGTGATCCAGTCTTTAAGAATGCATTCAAGTGTGTGCCAAATCAGTGCTTGGACAAGGCCCTGGCCCTTTACCTTTCATGGAAGGGTTTCCAGGAGAACTGCAGTCAGAGTACAATTGACAGCATTCAAGCAGCATTTAAATTGATGTGGGATGAGGCATATGTCTCACATAACTCTGCCTTTGCCAGTGACTAAAACAGACATTCCCAACAGTGGTGGTGGGACATTCCATGAGGCCTGGCATTACAATAGTGAATGCCAGCAGTGGGAGGGGAATCCGGTGTGGGACACTACCTCTGGGTAGCATGCAAATAGGGGGAAAGCTGTAGGGAAATCCCTAGGCTCGACCCAAGGGGTGCTGAGTAGGAAGGAGACATATAATGCCATGGTAGAGACAGCTAGGAAGTTGAATGTAGGGTGCGGAAATTAGATCTGCAGGGCTGTGGACGATTTGGGTATGAATTGACTTGGTTACGAAATTCCGAGTGACGATCTTGAGGTGAAGAAGTAATTCCAAGACAAGTAAGACACATGTTAGACACAGGGACACAAAGGAGGGGATGGACATGGGTGATGCAGATACACAGAGGACACGAAAGACACAGAAGACGCTGATACGCAATAGCCACAGAGGGCACAGATGACTCTTTGAACACTTAAACTCATGAATACACAGATTGTGACTCCAAAAAGATGGGTGGTATTTTTCCATCGTTGAGGCGGAATTATATAGTACATGGAGAGTAAGGTACTGATCAGAGAAATGTGGGGCAGGAGAAGCAAAACTCCAAAAAATAAAGGGGATGACATGTCAGACATCAAAGCCATACAGCAATGTGTGAAAACAAACTGTAAGGTAGCAACTGAGAAAGACAATGGGAAAGATGGGTATCTTCAGACAGGATGAGTGTACACTGTACCATAGAGTGGAACATGAAGGGTAGAGGCCATAGGTAGAAAGGGGTTCTCACATTGTGGAGAAAGGTTCACAGGAAAGGAATGAGAGGGGTAACTGGAGTTTTTACTGATGATCTGTGTGGCTTCCCAGCTACATGGCAAGGCAAGGGTCGAGGCGACATGACTGTGGAATTCCAGATAGATGAATGTCAGGTTGATGTTGACACAGAATTTTGGGATGATGACTGATGTGTGTTACTGATGGATAGGGAAGCTCTGAAGGTTCAACAGGCGAGGTGGCGCATGAGGCAAATGGGATAATTCCGAAGATGACAGATGTGGATGGTACCGGTGGAATTTTGGTGTTGGCATCCCTATTTTGGCCTCAGGGAGTATACTACTCCCTACACCTCCCAGGGTCTTCGAATGCTGACTGTCCTCAGTCAGAGGTCATCGAGTTGTGACAGAAGGGTGGCAGAGATTCAGAAGGTGACATAAACGATGGAGGCCCGTGTTCGGTCACATGGCTTGTGTGAACAAAAACTCCGCACCTGGATAACATGTCAGCAGCAGCCCTTCGGAACTAAAAACTTGCCCAGAAATGTCTCATCGTCAGATTCACCCTTGATAATCCACCACCTCACTCTCAGATACCCACTACCCTCACCAACTACTATGCAAGCCTACTCTGTCAACAACACACATCCTGTGTTCAGCATGAGGGACCAGGTGGCCACAGCACTTGCAGCCACTCTAGGGCACGTCTGGGACCTGATTGAGATGGTGCCACAGCCAGAGGAGAGGTTGGAGATGATCTATGCATGGGTGGAGGACTGGGACAAGATTTGGGTGAGTAAACCTTCCACTGCAGTGTGTTGTGTGTTGACAGAGTTCTGCAGACCGGCATTCACTCATGGTGGAAATACATCGACAACAACGGAATTACCATACCGAAGGTTTGCAACAAGTGTATGCATGACTACACCAAGGAATCTGCAATGTGCCAGAACCTGTTAGTCCTGGGAGCCATTGCCATTGCTGACCTCTGACACCCAGTGGAGCAAAGATGAGTCCACATCGACGACATCTTCGAAGACTATCAGGAGAGGGTAGAGTCGAGCGTGCAGCTCGAGGTGGAGAGGTTGACAAGGGAACCTTCTATGCACACACGCAGTCAGGCAGCAACAACAACAGGTGAAGGTCAAGGCTGCGCGCCCGGTGACACTGAAGCAGGGGAGTCTTCAGGGGGGGCTGGATGACCAGTGAGGCAACAGACAGATAGTACGGGCAAGGGGAAGGGTAAGGAAAAGGTATGTCCTACCCTCCAGGAAACTCTGAGAGCAATGGCTAACGTTCAGAAAAAAAAAACTCCGCAGGCCACAGACAAGGTCGATGAGCTGGAGAACAATGAAGGCAACCGTCCACCTAACCCTGACCCATCGAAAACTGGCGCTCCAGCACCTGAAGTCAACCTTTGATGCAGGGAGTGCATGAAGGTGAATGCAGTGTGTGAAGGGCTACCTGGGGAGTCATGTGAACGATGTAGGCAGGCCAAGTGGAAGTGTAGTTGGTCACTCAGAGTGGGTAGGAAGGTGAGTATGCGCTGATTGGGACAAGAAGAACAAGGACACTGAACCGTAACACAGTGCAAGAATGCTGGAAGTGGAGGGACAGCTGCTGGGCTGTCGCATAAACGGACCAAGTCAGTAACAGTAATGATGATGACTGAAACTCTGGTGACAACTGGGCTGAAACTCCAGATCCCTGCTCGCAAACCACCCCCCAGGCAAAACTCTGAACTGACTCCTGTACACCCAACACCTCGAGCAAGTCCCCCTTTGCTTTCTGACATGCCCCCACCTCCTGTACCTTGACCACTTCTGTTCCTTCCATCAGCAACCCCTGCACCTTGACCTCACCTTGAGCTAACTCTGCCACCAATGGACAATCCGGGAGACCTTGGCGATTGTGGACTTTTTGGCAGACCAACTGGATTATTGGACAATCCACCCACACCCGTTGTCAGCACACAGGACAAGTCTGAAGGTCCTCCAGTTGAAGAAACTCCACAGATTGCAAACCCAAGTGAATTGACTACACATGAGACTCTTGCTGAGTGCATCCAACTGTTGGAGGGTAGGGCGGATGATGAGGAGTTTGAGTTGACCCAGATCCACCAGATGCTGGGGCTGTTGGTGATGCAAGTGGAGCGACAAATTGGTGCAGTTCAGGGGCGATGTGAGGAGCTGAAGAGGTTGAAGGATCAGCTCAAAGATATGTAGGTACATGTACAGTAGTGTAAGTAGACTGCGGAATTTATTTGTTTTATTTTATTTTGTGAATCTTTTGGCATTTTGAACAGGATTATCGCTAAGAAGGGGGCAGGGAAAGAGAACGAATCAAGGAGAGACCAGAGATGAGCAATTTTTTTTTTTTTTTTTGACTGTGAAGACAGTTTTGTTTCATACGAGACGCAGAGGGTATATATATAAGTGAAAGGAGAAGCGGAGAAAGAGAAGAAAGAAGAGAAGGAAAAACATAGAGAGAAAGGTGTGCTACTCATCTGATTCGTCCAAAGGGATGCCAGCAAGTGCAGGGTCTGGTAGTGAATCGTCATCCAAGCAATCCAAGTCACTTGTGGAAATTCCAGTCCACTGTGTGACTTCGATATGAGAGTTGTTCTGCGGGAAATAGGGGTAAAGCTGGAAGGTGGCAAAGTGGAATTTGGACATGGCTCCATCTAATTCCACCAGGATGTACAAGCCTCCTTTGGTACACCGAATGACAATCATGGGGCCTAGGTAGCATGGTTTGGTCTTGTGATCTAGTTCTCACTCGATACGTGAATTCCACACAAGGACAAGTGAGCCAGGTTTGAAGTCGAAGTCTTGGATGGTGTGCACAAAACGAGCAACAAAGTCTTTGACTGATGTGAAGTGGGATCTCAGAACGAGATCATGGATTCGAGCGAGGTCTTCTGGACGTTTCTGGAGTTGATGGGCACAATGGGTGATGAGTTCTGACATCGAGTAAAATTCCACCTCAAAAGGGGCCAAGAATGTCACTTCAACAATGTCAAAAGGGAGTCTAGGTTCGACGCCATGAGCCATATAAAATGGAGAAAACCCAGTTGCCTTGTGAATCGTAACCCTCTCTGCCCAGAACACCACAGGAGCCACTTCCAACCACTTTGATGCTTCTCCTCCGCAACTCTTTACCAATGCCTCCCTCACATCGAAATGCCGATGCTCAACAACTCTGTTAGCTTGTGAGTTATAGGGTGAGATTCATATGTGGCAAATTCTGAAGGTTTTGGAAAGCCAATTGAGAGCGAGGATGTAGGGACCACTGTTGTCTGTGACAATTTCCGCAACTGCACCCCAGTGGCACAAGATCTGTTCAAAGATGAATTTTCCGATGGACTTGCCAGTCTCCATGTGAAGCATAGCCCACTCTGGGTAACTAGTGAGTGAACAGCAAGCTTGGGTGACATAGTGAAATCCATTTGACTTTGGCATTAAGAACATGTCCATGTATGCTTTGAAGAATAGGGGCTCAGGGATGGCGATGACTGGCGGAATATGAATGCAATCCAGATGGTGTATTTGGCATTCGTGACATGACTTGATGTACCAGCGGACATCCTGCTCTGGCATAGGCCACCAGAAACGAGTCAGTAAATGCATGTGGGTCAAGAAGATACCCTTGTGCCCTAGTTCATCATGAGCCTGATGAAGAATCCCAAGGCACTTGTGAAGGGCGACTACAAGTTGGTGACATCCTTGAGGCTCTTTCCTCCACAGCTCTCCTCCTTTGACAAAATACCGAGAGGTGAGATGCACCAGGCTTTCCAACTCCCCTTCCTCCAATCCTTCTGGCGTCTTCTTCGTCTCCAAAAATTCCTTTACCACTTTCAGCCTCTCCTCTCTCTGGATCACTTTCTCTGAGTGCAGAATTTCCGTCTCGTAGACACTCGACAAGGTTTGTTCAGAGGAGTAGATGCCTAGACTCTGTGACAAGACTGAAGGTGAGTCTGACAAGGTACTCAGAATTTCTGAAGGGTAAGGCTGGGACTTGAAACGGGCCTCCCTATGGTTCAAGAGCTCTACAGCGAAGGCTCCACACTCATCTATCCAGTCCTCATAGTCCTCTTCCCCATTCTCATCTTCTGCTGCTTTTGGTCTCCTTGAAAGACCATCCAGCGCCGCATGCTTGTGTGCAGGGACATGTACAAGCTTGAAGTCGAATAAAAGAATTCCCACAATCCAGCAGTTGATGGTAGTGTTGGGCTGTAAGTCAGGATTGTTAATCATCCCCTTTATATATCATGCGTCAACCTCGACAACTAAATTCCACATGCCAAAAATGTGAAGTCTGACATCGTGTAAAGTGTGGAAAAGACCAAAGAGCTCCAGTTTGGCTTGGCTATAACGGCGTTCATGGTTGTTGAGAGTCATTGAGCCAAACCTTGCAGGATAGCATTTTTCATCCTCCCCCTCCTGCATGAGGAGGTATCCTATAGCAATATTCGAGGTGTCAACCACCAGAATGACCTTCCTATTGGAGATGTAGTCGATAGTGCATAGCACAGGGGATGAGACAATAGCTTGGCAAAGATAATCCATGGCTTCTCTGTGTTCATTGTGGAATTTGAAGGAGATGTCTTTCTTGGTCAGCTCAACAAGGGGTCATGTGTGCTTAGTGAAATCCTTGATAAAGATCCTGCAATATGAGCAAAGACCTAAAAATCCGTGCACTTCAGTGACATTAGTGCAGTAGGGCCAATCTTTAATTTTCTGGACTTTAGCCTCGTCCAGAATTCTCCCCTCAAATGACACCTTATGCCTGACCACTATGATAGACGGTGTGGCAATGATGCATTTCTTCGCTGAGACAGTAGCTCCTGCATGATGCAGATGATGTAAGACATGGTTGACATTCTGCAGATGTTCCCAGATGAAGCATCTGATCCCAGAGTTTTGTGTGATCGTCTGGTAAGTACCATTGGAATTTTGGTAATGAGATTTGGGGCCTTTGATTGGGCAATCGTTGATGAATGGGATGGTAACTTCCAGAATTTCATCCTTTAATATCCAACAGACATCTCTGTGGAAAAATTGGATGGCATTTGTGTAGCCCATAAGTAGTTTGGTGAGTTGAAGGGTACCAATAGGGGTTTGGAAGGTAGTTAGATCACAGTATTTGTCATGGATGGTGCAATGATCATATCCAACCATGAGATCTAAAATTCCATAGACAGAGTGGCAGGTGAAAGCTTCTGCAATCAAGTCGACGAAAGGGGGAATGGCTGAATCCTGTATAGATATGGTGTTCAGAGGTTGTAAGTCATGAACAAGGTGCAGGGATTTTCCGTCCTTCTTGACTATGCAGAACCACTTCAAGCGATAGGATGAAGTAGAAGGTTCATAGACACCTGTGGAAATCTTTTCTTTGATTATGCTGACAACATCACAAAAAATGGCTGGAGGTATGGGGATATTCTGCTCGACCCAGGGTTTGTGGGCTAGTGTGGGTATCTTCAGTGGCGGAAACATATCTTCTTGGAAGGTTCCTCTTTCTGAGGCATCCCAAGCGAAGGTGGTCTCATGTGTCTTGACCAGCCATTGCACCAGATTTAACTCCATGGGCCAGAGGAACTTTGAAGGGTCCAGATCAAGCTTGTCAGCCCTTTCCTGGGTGAACCTGGAGCCTGGCGCAAATGGAGGAGGATGAGTAGGTAATACAGGTAAGTCTGTGAGAGGATCTCCAGCCTCCTGATGCTCTACCTGGAACTCCACAGGCATCAATGTCAGTACAGGCCTGACCTTCTTTGCTACAGGTTTGTATTTTAAGATATGAAGGACGGGATCAAACTGGTAAGTAGAACGTAAGGCTGAAATTGTCAGTGGTGAAACAGTAGTGCTAGTAGAAAATAAGAAAGGGTCATTTGAAGAAACGGAACTAGAATTGAACAGGTCAATTGGGGGCATACTGTTGTTTTGTAAGCCATAGAGCAATGCTGCAGCAGAATTTTGGGTAGTATCTGTAGAGAAAAGAGAAACCGGGTTCGAAGGTAACAAGGGAGAATCAGAAATGTAGAGTGAGCACAGAGAGAAAACATTATCATTGCCTCCTTGCGATCTAAATGAGTCATCGACTGTTACTAAAAACCCTGCTCAGGTTGTTTCATGTAGTGACACATCTCCTTGCATGCGAAGTAGTCTTCTTCATCATCAGAATTTATGAACTGTGGAAGAGGCTGTAGTCTGTTTTGAGGGCACATCGGAATTAATACCTGTCTTCCTGTGTTAGGGTCACGAATCTCTAGGGACTGTTCCCCATCAGGGAAATCTTGTAGGACGCTGGTGAGCAGACAGAAGAAGGGTCACCCGAGAAGTAGATCAAATGGAGCATGATCAACAACCTGGATTTGGAGGTGCACTTTGATATTCCCTATGTGCAAGGATGTGTTCTCTATGACACCTAGAGTACTTTCTTTGGATTGGTTAGCAGCTTCGAGAGTCATGCTCATGTCAGAACAAAGAGGGGCCCCTAAGGCCTCCCATAGTTCACGATGCAAGGCTACCACCTGACAACCACTGTCCAGAATGCATTCAACGTGGAGTTTGTCCATTAAGATGCCATCAACAGCGCGTAAGGGGGCAGTAGTGAGGCCCACACACCTCCCTTTGACATCTCTGACCCAGAATTGTTCATAGGATGCCCAGGTAGGTGACGCCACAGCTTCTGATGCCATTTCCAGGCTCCCAATTGTTATCTTCTTCGTTGCAGCCAGTTCTCGGACCTGCTTATGAATCTCCGGGCTGACAGCAAGGAGGTCTTTGGTAGAGATTTCCATCTTTGCTTCTAAGACTTGGTTTACGAGACATCTGGTAGCAGCCACTTCATCGAAACTGCTCTGGTATCGAAATTGGGGTGTGGGAATTGTTGTAGGCTTAGATTTCCTGGGATCTGTGGGATTAGAGATGGCCAGACTCTTACTAACAGTTGGGTTCTCTGTAACATGGACAGGATCATTTTGAATGGAATTAACAACTGGCCTGGGGGCAGATGACGCATTAGCAGGCACTGGACTTGTCATGGGGTTTTGCTGATGGTGGGCCAGAATTTCTACACCATCGAAATGAGTGGCCTTCTTCTTCTCAATATTATTTTTCAATTCTTCTACTTGTGTGTAAGCTCTTGCCAGGGCATGTTGGTCTTCTTCATCGGCATTCCCCTCTAGTTCTTCGTCAATTAGGTAGGAGGAGGGATGTAGGTC